AATGGCCCGGGATTGAAACATACCAAAAGCATTAGAAAACCTTAATATAATATTTTTCACAAGTTTAGTTTGTTTTATTTAATGTTGGCTTCATGGTCCGAATTTACAATTTTGTAAAAAATAAATTTAGAAATAATATTTTGTTTACATTTTTCTTGCAATGTTAATGGTGTATTATTTCATTCTTCATATTTGCTTTAAAACAAGATATTTTATTTGAAACCCCATTTAAAACATTTGACCTAAAAACTAATTTTTCTTAGCTCATTTTTTATATATTTTATTTGGTATTTAGTAAATATTACTTACTTTAAAACAATTTATTTTTTTGATTGAAAAAACATATAAAATAGTTATTTTTCATCAATAATATTTTCTTGGAATGTTAATATTGTGACAGATCGTTTTTTACGTGTGATCTTAAAATTATTCGACAATTTAATCTAAAATCGAATAATTTTATAGAAATTTGGATGAATTTCATATAAGAGAATAATATTTAAATTTAAAATATCATTTAATTTCAAAGGCGGGAATGAACTAAGATGGCGGTAACTATGTGGTGAGCAAAGTGAACCAAAATTCGTCCTACTGAAGAACATACCTTGTTTTCTTGTACCATGATATATCCTATATTAAATATGTTTGTAAATTTTCAAGAGAATTGCATAATGAATTTTGTAGTCAAATTTTTAAAACCCCTTCAAGAAATTTAGTTCAGATCACTTATTTTTTTTTAATCAATGGTAGGGGAGAGTGGGTAGACATTGGACAATTTTTAGATATTTTTGCATGGGTCTCTTAAAAATGTAATTATTTCTAATTTCAAAGTTTTAGGTAATAGTGTTGACTTCTGAAAACGCAAAGAGATAAATATGTGCACTTTAAACGAATTTTTGAAAAATTTCGGTCATCTGTCCAAAGTCACCTTACATACGGGGAGATTCTGGACAGCGTAGGGGTGCATTTGGACACTATAAAAATATTATAAATTTGGGTATTTTATTAAAAAAATCAGTGCAAAACTTATACAATACTAAATTACGACAAATCAAAATTAAAGTAAATCATGTTATGGAATCGAACTCCGTCAGTGGGTGGGAATAACCAATACCACGTCCTTAAAATCCACCAAGGCTTCATCTTCATCTGTTTCTTTAAATCTGTATGATGGAAACTGCCTTTTAAGGAATTTAACTGTATATCCTCGGTTTAATTTTTGCAATATTCTGCTAACAAAGAGCCGGGACGATGTTTGGACAATAGAGGAAGACTCTAGACAGTGTGTCCAAACTCTCCCTACATGATGTGGAACAAAAAAAAATGTTTATAATTTCAAAATATAGCAACGGAATAAAGTAAGGATTTAACAAAAGTTCAATGCTTTATACTTGCTTTAATATGTAGTAACTTTAAATTATTTATCTACAACGGTCTAGGCAAAAAAGCTTACAAGGGGAAAGTAAAATATTACATGAAAAAACTCGAAAATAAACTTTTCCACTTACCTCTTCTACAGCTAAACTCAAACTTATTTCACTACCACTATTTGATACCTTACCAACTTGACGATATGTAATAGTAGAACCAACCTGAAATTTTTACTGGAACCGCGAAATTTGTCCATTGTCCATTGTCTCCCAGTGTCCAGACCCTCCCCACTCTCCCCTATATATATAAGCCCTCATTAGCGTATACGCTGCATTATAAATTTAAATATTGGTACCTTATTTTTCTTGTATTTTATATTTTAGAACCTGAGCAAAACGCTGAGTCCTGTCTTCGTTCTTTAAAATTTGACTGCTTGACGGCTGAGGAGTTTTACCGAATATGGAAAGCATGTTGCCAATACCGCTTGGGTGATTTAAAATCCTTTTCAGACACCAATGCGATCATGGAAAAATATCCATTTTATAGAAACCTTTATATTTTTAACTGTTAACTTTTCACTATATGTCAAATAAATTATTTTATAATTTTAAAAATTAAAAAATTATAAATTTTTTAAAATGTTTTTTTTCGTTAAGTACTACAAACCTATTAATATATTTTTTTTGAGGTTCAATAAATAATTTAAAAAATTCTGGCAGTTTTAATAATCAGCATGTGTAATATAACTATAAAATTGCTTCCTAAAAATATGGTATTAAAAATGTAAGAAAAGTAACCTTTCTGATCAGCTGCACTGCACTTTACCTTCTGCTCTTTCCTGCGGAAAGTAGTACTTTACCGCAATTTTTGTTAGGCAGATCAGTGCGGTTAAATACTTTACAGCGCTATTTACAAAAAATCTATAAAAAGGTAAGGTAGGTACGGTACAAATAATGAAATTTCTTTAATAACTATTGCGATTCATTGTTATTCTTATTTAGCTTGTACGAAAAGTATTTGTGTAAATTTAAAATATTTTTGAAATTTGGGGTTTGAAAATATAACTTTTTTATATCAGTCAAAATCGCAAATAATTATAAAATTTTGAAAACAAGAGTCTAAAACTTATCCATTTAATCGACTTTTTAACACCTTTATTAACTGATATCCCCATATACCAAGCAAAATTTTGAGCACTCTGTATATAAATAACCAACCATTCCACACTATAGAACTTTATTATATTAACAAAAGCAGATTGTTAATATTACAAATAAATTTTGTTGTCGCAATTAATACATTTTTGTTTATATTACGAACAGTTTCATATAGGGTTTCAATAAAGTTCATTATAAACACAAAAGCCGATTGCTAATATTACAAATAAATATTGTTGTCACAATAAATAAATTTTGTTAATATTTAAAATAGTTTCATAGGGTTTCATTAAAGTTCATTATAATAACAAAAGCAGATTGTTAATATTACAAATAAATTTTGTCGCAATTAATACATTATGTTTATTAGGGTGTGCCAAAAAAACTCGATATTTTTTTTTCCTTGCTCTCCACCCAAAATATCGTAGAATATGTCCGAACAAATATTCTGTTAAAAGCGGAGCTCATAATTTCAATTTTAAGAGGTCCCTCATCGAATCTGAAGTTTTGCCGCTTAAATAACACAGAAAACTGACTTTTTTACCTTATTTATTCTTGCAACCTAGGAAGATTTTTTTTTTTCGTAAAATCCATGACTAATTCTTACAAAGCATTAAATTTGGACAAAAAAATCTTATTAAGCCGAATTTCTATTTTCATTATTTAATTTTTTACATAGCTTTAAATTTAAAGATAATAATACAAAAATGATGACTTTATACGCCTGTAACTTTTAGAATATTGAGGATATAAAAAATTCGCCTAAAACTTTTTTGTGGTCCATCAGACAAGCTAAAAAATTACCATTTGACTTTTTCGTCTAACTAACAATAGTTTAGCTGAAAAAGGCAAAAAACGTAAAATTTTAAATTTAAAGCTCTGTAAAAAAATAAATAATGAAAATAGAAATTCGGCTTAATAAGATTTTTTCGTCCAAGTTTAATGCTTTGTAAGATTTGGTCATGGATTTTATGAAAAAAAAATTTCTTACTAGGTTGCAAGAATAAATAAGGTAAAAAGGTCAGTTTTCTGTGCTATTTAAGCGGCAAAACTTCAGATTCGATGAGGGACCTCTTAAAATTGAAATTATGAGCTCCGCTTTTAACAGAATATTTGTTCGGACATATTCTACGATATTTTGGGTGGAGAGCAAGAAAAAAACTATTTCGAGTTTTTTTGGCACACCCTAATGTTTATATAACGGACGGTTTCATATAGGGTTTCAATAAAGTTCATTTTATACACAAAATCCGATTGTTAATATTACAAATAAATATTGTTGCCATGATAAATTAATGTTGTTAATAATACGTGTGTTTTTCATAGCTTTTATTTTGAACAACCAGGTTTTTGTAATATTAACAATTCTGATAGTTGGCTGAATTTTGATGAAAAAAATTGATAAGACAACAATCTTGTTTGTGGTATTTACATTAGGGTGATTCATTTCCGCAAAAAACTTTTTTTTCTCGGTGCTCAAGCAAAATATTAATCTACCTATAGAAAAAAAAATTTTCACCAAGGTAGAGCTCTTAATATCAATTTTAAGTACTTGCAGTTTAAATTTAAAGTTTTCCCAATTGTTAAAAAAAATTGCAAAAAAAATGTTCATTCAAAAAATTGAACTTTGATGACTCCTACTGGCGAACCACTACGAGTTACACAAAAAAACACAAAGACAATTTTGAAGAGCGTGAAATTCCCTATAAGGTCCATAAAACCGATTCACAATATTGTAAAGAGCGGGCGAGCATTAGAAATTTGAAAAAAAAAACCATTTTTTACATGCATTTTAAATGGGAAAACTTTAAATTTAAACTGCAAGTACTTAAAATTAATATTAAGAGCTCTAGCTTGGTGAAAATTTTTTTTTCTATAGGTAGATTAATATTTTGCTTGAGCACCGAAAAAAAAAACTTTGCGGAAATGAATCACCCTAATTTACATACGTTTTTGGTTAAGTGCATGCAACGTTGCTGGGACTTTTATAACATGCAAAGTGACCGTCAAAAAAAAATTGAACATCTAAAAAATTAATGAATACCTTTTGCGTACAGTATAAACTTTGGTAAAAATAAATTTTGTCTGCAACCATCATTGGTTGATTTGATATGGATTGGTCCAAAAGTGATTGTTTACTGTCAAATTATTTAAAAAACAGTTAGATTGCGTTACTGTTTAAAAAAAAAAATAAGCACATATAAATTTATTAACAATTCTTCTCATTAAACATTTTTGCCCACGAGTGTATTTTAATAATAATAATAATAATTCTACCCGTTTTTAAATTAATTATTTTTTGTACGTAAAAAAGTTTATAATGGTTGGGTATTTTAAAAAAGTTTAAAAGTTCCTTAACCTGAAAAAAATGAGAACTTATGTTTTAATTGGACATGTTAACCTTCATTATATTTTTTTACATTTTATTTAAAATTGCATATAAAAATTAATTAGTCTTTAGACAGCTGTAAACAAGATTGAATGGGTCGTATAGGCTTAACCACAAGTATTTTTTAATTGCTAAAATAGGTAAGTGCATTTAACATTAATTTTTATAATTTTATTTTATTTAATAATTAAAATTTTAAATCATGATAGAGCCTAAATATGTACTTTATCAATTTAATGAAGTTAAAAATAAGTCGTTAAAATTAATAAGAAAATAATTATGTTTATTTAAACACTTTCCTAAACGATTTAAGTAAAACTTAGGCGATGTATATACTTAGTTTAGGCATTTTTAGAAAATGATATGCCAAGTAATACTATGGAACATACTGGCTTCCGCAGTGATTTTATTTTGTGGCGCCTTTTTTAGGGTAGACTTTAAAAAAATAGTTCAAAATGATTGGAACTTGAGTAAGTACGAATTTATTTAATTTTTGCAACATTTTTTGCCTAAGTATTAATTATTTTTAGAAGAATATGATTTTATAATAGTTGGTTCAGGATCAGCCGGAGCTGTTTTGGCCAATCGGCTCTCCGAAGTAAATAACTGGAATATTTTGCTATTGGAGGCTGGTCAACCTGGAAATATTATTACCGCTATACCTTTGATGGCACCAATATTTCAAGTTACGCCCTATAACTGGAATTATACCATGGAAAAACAAGATGGAATATGTTTAGGTAAAATATAATCTCGTGTGAATCATCTTTGGACAATTTAACAATCAAAAAGGAGAAATTTCAGCGCACTTACTCGCGGAAAATAGCACTTTACCGCAAGAGTTAAAAAATATGTTTTATTTAGGCATGGAAGATAACACGTGTGCTTGGCCAAGAGGTAGAGCACTTGGAGGTAGCACTGTGATAAACTACGTCATTTACACCAGAGGAAATCCAATCGACTACAAAAGATGGAGTGACGAAGGCAACCCAGGATGGTCTTATGAAGAAGTGTTGCCATATTTCCTGAAATCGGAAAATTGTGATATCGGTTCATTGTGTGATAGTAAATACCACAACAGAGGAGGTTACCTAAATGTTGAATATCCATATGCGTCGATTTTATCGAAACAATTTTACAAAGCAGGTTTGTTTATAAACATTTTTATAATATCAAGCGAGTTTCGAAAATTGCGAAATAACGTTATTCAGTAAATTTAGTAAACAGGATGTTTCCAGAGTTAATTATGAAAAAATTATTTTTAGTCTTCTTCCTCTTGCATGGTATTACAATACATTTTTCATTACCAAATTAATTTCACTATTTGGCTAGTTAACCTCCAAGACTAACGGCACCCGAATACAAATGTCATATAATATATACTTTATATTGCGGCCCGTCGGTCGATAAATACACCCAAAGCTGGCCCTTGGTTAACAAAAGGTTGTAGACCCGTTTCCTATTATTTTAGTTTTTTGGCCCACCCTGTATAAAAGGGTGTAGTTTATTTTTCTGTCCAACTTTTATCCCTGATAGCAAAATTTGAATTTAAGAATCTTCTAAGAAGATATGACCCGGAATAATGGAATATTCTTGGAACCTTCCCTTATTGCTTAGAATGTTCTTAGGGACTTTTAAAACATTCAATAGATACCCTTTTAATGATGCAATTAGATTCTTAAAAACTTCTTAAAACCTTCCTAAAAAGCATCCTAAGCACATTTTAAGAATACGTTTTTGGAATGTTTTTAGAAGGTTTCTTATGGAGCTTCTAGGAAGCTTTTGAGAATATTTCCAAATATGTCAGATACCCACGTTCTAATATGTTGTATTCTACATTCAAATTTTTTTCAGGAGACGACAAATACGCCTCACTGTCATAATATGACAGTAAAATGTATTTGTCGTCCCCTTAAAAAATGTTGCGACATATTAATATACATACAGTGTGACCCATTTGTTTGCGACTCACCCCTGTAAAATCTTTATTTATTGTGCGATTTTAACCGGATTTGTTTTAAAGTGTAGATCTTGATAAATTGTATTTTTGGAGCAAAAGACGCCATATTAATACAAAATACAAGGCCTACTATGTCAGTTTTTAAGAGTAAATTTTTAAGAATTTATATTAGCGATTTTTTTAAACAAAATATAAGCACGGCACTGGATTCACCACCCCTCAAAACTATCCTATACTAAATTTTATCGCAAAATTTTAAGAAAAAAAAATATACAAAAATAACCAACATGGTACTATTACTAAAAGTTTAATTTTATTTCAATGTTTTTTCATGGATAACTTGACAAAATAAATTTTTGTAGTTAATATTCTGCATTTTTTTTCTTAAAATTTTTTAATAAAATTTAGTTTAGGGTACTTTTGAGCTTATAAGCTATATACTTGTTATAAAACCTTTAGGTTATATTTAATTTAAAACAGTTTTTAAGACAAAAAATGTTTTCGATTCCCGAAATTTTAGTTATGTTGCTTACGATACTTTGGCAGAAAGTCATCGATATGTATTTGTTGTAGAAAAAGTATAGTATGCACCTCGTTTATAAACTTTTCTATACACTCATTAATTTAAGCACTCGCTCGCAAGCTTGCTCGTGCCTAAATTAAATTCGTGTATAAAATGGCGTTTATCAAACTTAATACATAATATACCATTTTGTTATCGAATATTGTTTTAATTTAACAAATAACTATAAAAAAAATATTTTGGATTGTGTTTTTTACTTAGTATTTAATACTACTTACCTTTATACGTAGTTTATGGTATATTTTACTATTATATAGGTAACTAAATTAAATATGCTTAACAGGAATATTCCTAACATGCCATATTCTTAACATTCTAAGCATATGTTTAGAGTAGACTAATTTTTACCACTAAAACTTTGCACCTTCTAAGAACCTGCCTATAGGCCAGTAAGAATATTCTTAGGATCATACTATATGTCTTTTAAGCATGTTCTTTGGAAGAAATATAGCATGATCCTAAGAATATTCTCACTGGAAGGTTTAAAATACATTCTTGGAATAAAGTGTGCTATCAGGGATTCAAGGTGTGCTCTACTAAATTACCTATTATTTTCTATTTAGGTCTCGAAATGGGAAGCAAATACGTGGACTACAACACAGAAGACTACCTAGGCTACTCAAGAATCCAGGCAAACCTGCGTAGAGGTCGCAGAGATAGTGTGGCTACAGCCTTTTTATACCCAATACTACAACGACCCAACTTGAGAATACTTACATCAGCAAGAGTCACAAAAGTTCTTATAAACGAAGACAAACTGGCTTATGGCGTTGAATTCTACAGGCGGGGCAAAAAGTATACAGTAACGGCCAAAAAAGAAGTAATTCTATCTGCTGGCGCGTTCCACTCCCCTCAGCTTCTAATGTTGTCTGGCGTGGGGCCAGCGGAACACCTACAGGAACTTGATATACCGCTCGTGAAAAATTTGCCTGTAGGTAAGAGTTTAAAAGACCACGTGACGTACTTGGGCTTGATTTTTAAGATGAATGTTACTGTAAATAATAAATTCAGCATATTTTCACCCCAAGAAGTCCTCAATTATTTATTAAGAGGAAAAGGAGGTTATGCATCATTGGGGGGCGTGGAATCTTTGGCATATATAAAAACAAAGGGTTCCAAAACACCAGAAAACTACCCAGACATCGAGTTAATGTTATCTGGAATTGGTTCCCTGGAAGCTGACTACGGACTGATTTCAAGACGAGAATTAAGAATTAGGGAAGAAGTGTACGACAAATTTTTCAGACCATTAGAGTTAACTCCTACTTTTGCAATACTACCGATATTATTGCATCCAAAATCAAACGGGTTTCTGAAGTTACGATCAAAAAATCCACTTGACAGGCCCTTGCTTTATGGTAACTTTTATACAGATCAAGAAAATGCCGACCTAAAAACAATGATTGCTGCTGTACGATACATTCAACAATTGACACAAACAGAAGCGTTTCGAGCACTAGACGCCACACCAAACACCATTCCAGTGCCGAATTGCGAAGTTTACGAATTCGATTCCGACAGTTATTGGGAATGTGCTTTAAGAACTTTTTCCGTTACTGTTCACCATCAAATTTCTACGTGCAAAATGGGAAAAGTGGTCGATGAAAGGCTGAAAGTTATTGGCATTAAAAATCTTAGAGTTGCCGATACCAGTGTTATTCCAGTGACTCTATCCGCGCACACCAGTGCGCCAGCCATGATGTTGGGAGAAAAGACTGCTGATATTATTAGAGAAGACTGGAATGAGAAGCAAAGCTGATTCGTAGTTTTTTAGTAGAAAGTACCTATATAATAAATATAATTATCAACAAGAATATTTTTTACAATTTAAAACAAAAAAATGCAAATTGTTTTTTATCCATACTAAATTAATAATATATAATAATAATAATAACAATAATAATAATAATATCTTTATTCATCAAATAGATCAGATCACGATATAGGACAAGTCAACATCAAAAAATTACAATATATTACCTAGACCATTAAGCAAATACAACATACAATGAAACTTAACTAAATACAGAAAGTACAATATTTTATAATCAGTTAAATATAACACTGCAAATAATCATTTACAGAATAAAATGCATTATCAATAAGAATTGTTGTAATTTGACATAAATAATTTGAAGTTGGTAAGTCTCTAATCGATAATGGAAGATTATTATATAATACAGATCCAATATAAAAAGGATTAGATTTATACAGCTCCATTCAATTGTAATTCGTTACATTTTAAGAAGGAGCAATTGCTCCTTCGAATTTAGTGACATCAATATTAACACCTAAGAATTTTGTGAATAAAACTTGTTTAATTGATTTATTGTTTAATTTAATAAGTGAACTTTTAATATGGATGAAATTCAATATTAAACGTTTTTTCCTGGTTTAAAGATAACCCATTTTTTAGAAAATAATTGTAAATTTTATTCATATTTAAATTAAGTTTATTGGACATTTCTAATTCATTATTGGCAATTGAAATAATCGTAATATCATCTGGAAATGAACAATGATATATTTTTAGTTCATATTGCAAGTAATTACAGTATAACAAAAATAAAAGAGGTCCTAACACACTTCCTTGAGGGACTCCTATATCAACGTCTGATTTTTCGTCCTCAAAAAGAACAAATTGCTGTCTGTTTGACAAATAGGATTTTAATAATTTATTACACTGACCTCGCAAACCATAACATTTTTTTAAGTAGAATTTCTTGATTGAGAATGCTTTTGAAAGATCGACAAATGAAGCCATAACTTTAAATTTGTCATTAAGGTGTTTATAAATATAATCAACAATATTTGTTAAAGCAGTTAGTGTGGATCGATTTTTACGAAAACCGTGCTGATTTTTCGATAAAATATTGTGAATATTCAAAAGTGGAATTATTCGTCCAGCTAGACATTTTTCAAGGATATTTGAGATGACTGACAAAAGCGCTATTGGTTTTGAATTGAACTTTTTAAAAAGATATTTGGCATAATGGTACAAGTTGCATCAGTTGCATAATTTAATTAAAAATGAAGATAGGTATATTATCTGGACCACAACTACTTGTTGTTCTTAAAGCGTATATTATATTTAACATTTCAATTTCTATAACAGGTGAAAGAAAGATTGATTGATTTATAGATAGTATTTTAAAATTTACATCAGTATTTGTGTTTTTTTGATATTGAGTTTAATGGGGCATTTAAATTTATAATTATAAAAAAATTACAAATTAATTAGCAATTTTTTCTTTATCATTTATAATAAAGGTCAAATTTTGATTTTGTTTTTTATTGCCAATATTTTTATTTATGTAATTCCATACTGTTTTTGACACGCTTTTTGAGTTTTTTTTCGATTTCTCAAAGCACAGTTTTTTAGTCTCTTGAATAAATTTTTTGTAAATTTTATAGGTATTATAATAGTTAGGTTGAATTACACCATTACACTTTAAATTATATAAATATTTAAGTTTTCCTGATGATATTTTAATTAAGGATTTAAAATATCATCAGGAAAACTAAAATATTTATATAATTTATTGCGTAATCCAATTCCTATTGCTTTTTTGTAACTTTTTAAAACTTAATGGAAAGGACATATTGTAATAATTAGCTAAAATATTTATAAAATTTGAAAAGGTTTCATGAATAAAGTTATTATGAAAGACAGACTGCCAAATTTCATTAGAAAGGTGCGATAAAAAATGTTGTTGAAGTATATATTTCATGCATATCACATCATTAAAATTGGTAAAAATATAGTCGAAGTTGTTGGTTTTTTTTAAAAAGGAATTTGTTAAGTCGATTAATTTAGTGTTTTCTTTTGAATTAGACAAAAAAATTGTATTAAGATATCCAGCTAATATAATTTTATAATAAGTTTGTTCGCTACACAATATGTACAATAAATCTTTTTTTTAAATATATTTATATAATAATATATATATATATATATATATATATGTATACATATTAATATAAAAACATTAATATCAGTATATAATTTAATTTATAATTAAAAAATTAGGTACTGGGGCGGACACGGAATTTATTATACAAAAAATCATTTTTAAATTTGACCTTCTATCAAATCTTTTGGGGCAAGTGTTCCAATAACCTTAGATCCGGCCCTGCATTTTAAAACTCGTTTATCATTGTGTAAACAATAAAAAGGTTAAAAAGAATAATCAAGATAATACGTGAAATTTTCAAAATAACACTATATTATAATTTTGTTGTTAAATAAACCTTATTTGGTTGCACTGTATATTCGACGGTCCGCATGAATTCATTTATTTAACTCGTATCAATTGTATTCATCTAATTTACGTATGGAAATTCTAAACCGTGTTTAGTCTTGAACAAACTGCATAGTAAATCATATCATTAAAGTACTTTCAATGTTCTTTACATGATAAGATTAAATTGTTTGGTTCCCACCTCGTCAAACCGGTCGTAATTTAATAGTTACCAAATTATCATTATTATTATTATTAAAATAAAAAAATGTAAGTATTGTGGATAATTTAATTTATACGTTGGAATCTATTTAACATAGTTTTAAACTAAATTTAATAGTTAGACGTAGCAAATAATTTTCAAAATACAACGTTTTAAATTATTTTACAGAATGAGCAAGTTTTTAACCTTACTTAAAAGTTGTTTAAACAAATACCCAGTTGTTTCAAACTCAGTAATATACGGATCTTTATGTGTGGCAGCTGAATTTACACAACAGACAGTAACCAAAAAAGTTTTGGTAAGTCAATTTTTTGGACCCTATAAATATACCTATTTATTAATATTAAATCGACCTACCTAGGTACCTTGGCTTTTAAAACTGCTCACTTGTTGGATGTTACCTAATTAAAAAAAATAATTTAAATATGTAGGTCTATATCAAGGCCTCCGGTTACACTCGGCACTGTATACCTTTAGCGGAAAGATTCGATTTAAGCATATTTTAAATTAAATCGGTCTATAAAAACCATATACATATATATTATATGTATATGATAAAAACTCGATAAGATTTTGCCTAGCATTCGGTCTCTACTATTTACTAATTAATATTATAATAACAAGGTCTTGTCTGGGCATGTGTAGAAAATTTGGGTATTATCAATAAAAATAAAACAACATTTTTGTTTACCTTTATTCTTTTTGCAACGTAGATGGAAAATTAATTTATACAGGGTGTTCCGAAAATGGCGCACTAACAGCATAAATCTCGTGACGATAAAAGTGGCCTCAATTGACCCCCGAAGGGTCATGTGAACGACGCACATTGTTTCAATTCTCAAAATTTTCGGCAAAATATCAAGGAGTAGTCGGATTCTCCTAAAAATCCGTATATAGAGGTTTTTAGGGTCGCTGATAACGAATCTGGAATCAGAATTCCAAAATTCAAAATGGTAGATCCAAAATGGCGGACATATTTGTAAAAAAAATTGTGACGGAATTAATTGAAAATCACCATACAGGGGTTTTGTGGTCGCTGATAATGAATATGAAATCAGAATTCTAAAATTCAAAATGGTAGACCTTAAATGGCGGACATTTTTATCAAATACTGTCGAAAGTAATTAAAAACCCGTAAAAGGTTCTTTTTAAAATGTAATAAAACATATTTTTATAAAATAGCTTAATTTAGTTTATTATAATTATATTTATATGATATTATTTAATACCTACATATATATTAAACAATCTCCGTCACTGGATTCGCTCGTTGTATCATTAGCAGAGCATCAGAAGATAGCAACAGTTTTATTGCTTCGCGGGACAAAGATTTGCTCTTTTTCGGAGCAAATTTTCTGAAGCTAGAAATATACGGATCGGAAGATGCCATAAGCCAATGGAAAACATCTTCCATCGTTTTCTCCCGAGAAACTTTCAAAATACATTTATAAAATTTAAATATAACAGATTTTATACTAAGTATTTTAAATTTGTATTATTTCTTTTACTTAATATTATAGCAACGATTTCTTAATTCGCTAAAACAATTGCCAACACAAATAACCACAATTCAAATTTGACATTAACACACTACAATGCGCATGCGGTGTTGTTTTAACGCACCTCCAAGAGGTGGGTTAAATATGTAAAATCGGTGTTAAATATCTTAGTAGCCACGAACGATTTACACAAGTGAAAGTCTAGACACCGCTGTTGTAACAAACGTTTTGAGTTAAATCCGAGTGAATCGAGTAAACGTCATGAACGCAACCCAGAAATAAAAAAAAATCTTATATTTTGTAAAGCAAAAACACAGATACGCGCTCGACATAGGCTTAAAATCGCGAGTTTTTTTACCACAACCGCGCCTGAGCGCCCAAGAACATGTGGTTTTAAAGAGCCGGGGGCAAGTTGGGGCAGCTAATTTATTGATGGCTTGATAGATAAAAATCTAAGCTATTCAACGGATCTTGAACTGATGCCTTACAATTCATTACAATTTTTCTAGCTCCATTGTTCTAAAAGCTCGATTCAAAGTTTTAACAGACCGATCTTGTCGGTTACAATAATCCGTTGTAAAAGCAAAATCTACAAAAAACAAATATATATCTGAATTTTAGATACCTTGAATATCACCCTTCATCAAACCGCATAACAATCGGACACACCAAACACAAGTTATTCACTTTTAAACAATAAACAATTTTTCGCAGCGATCGCGTGTAAAGTACCTTCAACTGAAAGCGTCAAGTTTAAACTGATGTCCAAGACAAAATATACTGTAGCGAGTACGGCTCTGGATCTCGCTATGATGACTCATCGTCGATGAGTCATCGCCGGTGACTCAGCGCTCGAATAATCGAGAGTGTGGAGCTCGCTGGAATGTTCCAGAAGACGTAGGCGCTGTAATATATAAGGAACGGCGCTTCATGGAGAGTCAGTGGAGCTTTGGTACGCGCGAAGAAATAAATAAATATAAGTGCAAATAAATAAACTAGTAGTGATATAAATAATTAGTAGTTAAGTGTTTAGTTAATTTCATAGGCCCGGTTTTTCAATCGTTGGTTAACTTTATCTTACGGTTAATTTCCTTAGATACTATTGTTAACACAATAGTATCTAAGAAAGTTAACCGTAAGTTAACCAACGATTGAAAAACCGGCCCTAAGTGTTTTAAGTGTAGTTAAGTTATTAAATAAATAGTTTAGTTCGTTAATTAACCAGTGCGTGTTTTAATTCACACTACGAACAGTTAAAAACGTTACAATTGGTGTCAGGAGTGCGGTTAGTGTGAAAGTTCGCGAAAATGGTTTCGTTAATGGACTTAAAAGTAGCGGACCTTAAGCGGGAGCTAGAAGAAAGAGAATGTGAAACAACTGGAAAAAAGAATGTGTTGCAGCAGCGGCTTCGAGAAGCATTGGAACAAGAGGGTAAAAATCCAGATGCGTATTTATTTGAAGACCCTTGTGACATGCATTTAATGTTGCAAAATTTAAAAGACTTAAAAGTCGATTTACAACAGAATATTCTAGAAAATTCTAACGACTTACAAAATAAAATGCTAGAAAATTCTAAAGAACTGAAAGATTTAAAGGATGATTTGCAACAGAAAATGGTAGAAAATTCTAGCGAATTAAAAGTCGATTTGCAACAGAAAATGGTGGAAAATTCCAACAATTTAAAGGATGATTTACAACAGAAAATACTGGAAAATTCTAAAAATTTAAAGGAATATTTAGAACAGAAGATTCTAGAAAATGTCAATGAATTAGAAGAGAAAGTGGGACAAAAAGTTGACGATGTAAGGATGGAATTAGAAGAGAAAGTAGGACAGAAAGTTGACGATGTAAGGATGGAATTGAATAACGTAATGAGGGAATTAGATACAAGAGAAGAAAAATTGAACGAGAAATTGAAAGTCAAAATTAGAGAAATAAATAGTAAACTGAAAGCTGTAAATTTACCTATGATGCTGACGGAACCAGGAGCAGTGCCGGAGGGAAGCCGAGTACGGATGAAACCACCTCAGTTCGATGGGAAAACTTCTTGGACAAATTACATCCGTCAGTTTGAGGCAGCAGCAAAAGCAAATGGCTGGCTACCAGAAGAAAAAGCTACAGCATTGACTCTTGCTTTACGTGGAGATGCAACCGATATCTTGCAGACACTTTCTCCCAACGAACAAGAAGATTACGAAGCGTTGGTGAAACATCTGGAACTTCGATATGGCCAGACACATCTGGAACATGTGTACCATTCCCAACTGAAGAATCGCTGCCAGAAATCAAACGAGACTTTACAAGAATTCGAGGCTGATATTGCACGCTTGGTTCGGCTAGCATATCCAGCTACTCCAACGACCGTTATGGAACGATTAGCGGTTCAAGCCTTTTTGGATGGACTTCGGGACAACGAAACAAGACAGGCTCTGACGTTGGCTCGTCCGAGCCAACTGGTTGATGCATTGGCCCGAGCTTTGGAATTCGAGGCGGCAAAGCAGAGCTGCAGGAGCCAGCATAGAATTAGGAGAGTCGAGGAAGAAAAAGAGAAGGAACCCAGTATAATAGAAGAAATCAGGCGAGTTCTTAAAGAGAATCTACCAGAAAAGAAGGAAATCCGGTGTTGGAGATGTGGAAAGCTGGGACATATACAAAGTCGTTGCAGAGGAAGCCAGGTGGCGCCGACTTTATTTAGAAAAATAAATAGGACTGAAGAAAAAGATGTATGTATTCGTAGGACTACAATCGTGGATGATCATTGGCAATCCACTGAGATTCAACAAGACCAGGAAAGGGACCCGGATTTGAAGCTCATCATCGATTGGAAGAAGAACGACTGTAAACCAACGTGGCAAGAAGTTGCCCAATATTCGCCGAATGTGAAATCGTACTGGGCCCAATGGAATTCCATCATCTTAAGTGAAGGACTTCTAAAGCGCGTGCTGGAGACTCCAGAAGGGGTAAAAGACCGGAAGCAGATAATAATCCCTAGAAACAGGATACCAGAAGTGCTGCAGGAAATCCATGATGGAACTTCTGGAGGACATCTTGGGGTGACCAGGACGCTCGGGAGACTTAGGGAACGGTTTTATTGGGTCAACAGCCAACGAGATGTGAAGGAATGGTGCAAGAAGTGCGCCGTTTGCGCGGCAAGCAATGGACCCCAGAAGCGCCCAAAAGCCCCAATGCGACAGTACAATGTGGGCAGCCCATTTGAGAGAATTGCAATCGACGTGGCGGGTCCATTTCCGGAAACAGAATCTGGAAATAAATACATCATCGTTGTAATGGACTACTTCAGCAAGTGGGCGGAAGCGTACGCCTTGCCAAATCAGGAAGCTGCCACAGTGGCCGATGCCCTTATTAAGGAGTGGGTTTGTCGTTTTGGTGTGCCAATGGAGATGCATTCAGACCAAGGCAGGAACTTTGAATCTATACTATTCCAGAATGTCTGTAAGATTCTTAACATTCGGAAGACGAGGACGACTGCATTACATCCGCAGTCTGATGGAATGGTAGAACGAATGAATCGAACGATAAACCGGTACTTGTCCAAGGTAGTCTCTGATCACCAAAGAGACTGGGACCGCTTCCTCCATCTGTTCCTATTGGCGTACCGTTCTTCTATCCACGATACAACCGGCCAGACACCCGCTAGCATTGTTATGGGACGTGAACTTCGTCTACCTTGTGACCTGAGGTTTGGTTGCCTACCAGGGGAAGATATTGCTGGAGAAGATTATGTCAGCAATTTACGTAGGAAAATGAGCGATATTCACAGCCGAGTTCGTTTAAACATCCAGAGTGCCAACCCTCAGCGCCGTCGTGGTTATTCACCGAAGCTGCAGACTTCTTGGGAAGGACCATACGAAGTCATGGATCGCATAAATGACATCATCTACAGGATCAGGAAACAACCAAGAGGAAAGCCGAAAGTGATCCATTTCAACCGATTGGCCCCTTACGCTGGAAACAATGCTCAAATAGACGATGCTAGAGTAAGGAAGACGAGTTGCCTTTTGAAGACTTCATGTATTTTTATTCGAGCGGTAAAAAAGCTCGGTATGGTGTCACTCGAGAAGAACAAAAAGATCTGTTCACGGTTTCGGCCGATTACTCCTTGGCTCACTGTGTTGCGGAAGACCTTAGGATGTCCAGGGGAAAAGCGGTTGTCTTTAAAAACAAGTTTGGACGGGTTGACGAGCTACGAAGGCAGAATCCCAAAGTTGGAGAGGTGCTTGAAATTGTGGATAATGAGCAGATAGGCAATAGAAGTATCTTCTATCTGGTAACGAAGCAGCTCTCCCATCATAAGCCAGACTACCGTGATGTATGGAATGCCTTAAATAAATTGAGGGATACCCTTTTGTCCAAGGACATCATGAACCTGGCGATACCGAAGATTGCTTGTGGACTTGACGGTTTAGATTGGAGAATAATTAGAAGTATGGTGGAAGTTATCTTCAGATTTAGTGGCATACACATTCTTGTCTGTTGCCACAACCCTAAAAGAACAACCGGAAGGAAGACCGTAGACTGATACTTCTATAGGACGTCACAATGCAAGTTTGGATCTCTATGCAAATATCGCCATGGAGCTGAGGACCATTTTCGGGACGAAAATGTTTTAAGACGGGGGCAATGTAGCGAGTACGGCTCTGGATCTCGCTATGATGACTCATCGTCGATGAGTCATCGCCGGTGACTCAGCGCTCGAATAATCGAGAGTGTGGAGCTCGCTGGAATGTTCCAGAAGACGTAGGCGCTGTAATATATAAGGAACGGCGCTTCATGGAGAGTCAGTGGAGCTTTGGTACGCGCGAAGAAATAAATAAATATAAGTGCAAATAAATAAACCAGTAGTGATATAAATAATTAGTAGTTAAGTGTTTAGTTAGTTTCATAGTGTTTTAAGTGTAGTTAAGTTATTAAATAAATAGTTTAGTTCGTTAATTAACCAGTGCGTGTTTTAATTCACACTACGAACAGTTAAAAACGTTACAATACGTATTTTATATAATTTTTTTTCAATACAGAATGGAGACCGGTATTAACTACCCATCTAACTCAAAATTTTCCTGAAAAAAAAATGTCAATTTTTGAGGTTTTGCCGATATTTTCGAGAATTGAAACACTGTGCGACGCCCTAAAAATATTTATCGGATTATTTTTTATGATAATCTGGCTAAAAATGGAACAAATAAACAATTTCATTGGATTAACTTTGTCGTGACGTTTTTAAAAACCCTTACATCTCGGGCGTGACAAATCGTGACGGTCCTTCAAAACCTCCCTTCCTCCTCCAGCGTCACGAGATTTATGGACTACCCCTAAACCGGATATTAATAAACTGGCATTCAGTTTTTTGTGTTGTTTTTAGATAGGTCTAATGGTATAATTGAATATTTTAAATACAATAAGATTTCAGTACTTAAATATGGAAGTAATTAAAAAATAACATTATTTCAGCCGGAAACTTCGCAACCTTATGATGCCGAAACAATCGGAAGATACAGTATTTATGGTACCGCCATAGCCGGACCAATATTAGCTGTTTGGTAAGAAAAAATAATTTTTTTTAACACATAATAAATTTTTTCTTTAGGTACAGATTTTTAGACCAAAAAATATCCGGAACAACTGTAAAAATAGTGGCTAAAAAAATGATTGTAGATCAATTCACGTTTACACCCACCTTACTTGTGATATTTTTTGTTTGTAAGTACAACCAAATCATATTTGAAAAGAAATAAGACAATTGTCTTTACTAATTTTGATAAATCAATTTTATTATTATTATTATCGAAGCTCAAAGATTAGAGTGCTCTGTGCACTACTATTAAGTATTAAGTCGCCCTTATGACTTCACTTGATAGGAATTCCTCGTTATCGGTCGTAAGGGCGATTTTTTTATTCCATATCATAGAAAACCCAGATGGGGTTCCATATCACATATTCTATTATTAAGTTTATAATTCTTGTTTTAAAGCAATGAGCATAATGGAAAGAAAACCAGACATTTTCCAGGAATGTCGCGAAAAAATGGTATCGACTTTCAAAACTAGTTGCATGTTTTGGTTGCCATGTCAAGCAGTTAATTTTATGTTGGTCCCACCTGTATTTAGAGTAACATACATAGGAACATGTTCCTTTGCCTGGGTAAACATACTTTGTTGGATCAAAAGGCAAGGTAATGCGCAAATAGAAGAAACTCAAAAATTAAACTAATGTTGTATATAGTTTAACAAATCTGTAAATAGGTTCTTTTTGTAAGATAAAAATAAAAAACGTAATTTTTTATAATCAACTATGATTTATTAAAACTATTAAAAACTACCTACTCAACAATACCTTTGGGAGCCCTGGAATCATAATTTAATATTTCTGGGTGATCCTCACATATAACTCTATAGGCATAACATAATCTTGCAAATTCTTCATTGGTGATTTGGAAAGGTCTTGTCATAAAATCCAATTCTGCCAAATTAAACATTTTGGGACCTAAAAAATACCCTTATCCAGTTATGGTTGCTGACAAAAAAATTGTTTTCCCCGTTTGATCCATACTCAGGGAGTTAAAAACAGGTATTCATTAATTTTTTAATTGTTCAGTTGCATTCTACAGAGGTTTGCGTTAAACCCTGTAGCTTCACGTTTTCAAAATAAAAACGTCTCTTTTACAATAACAAAAAGTTCAACTTATATATTTTGTCTGGATATAGCCTTTAATAAAGACTCTATAAGTATACTACCAAAATTTTCAGCAAGCATTATTTTATTTTGTTGTAATAAGTATTTTTCCTAAACTTTTCACAAGTTGTAACTTTTAAAAAGTTTAGGAAAAATACAATAGTACTACAGTAATATTAATAATACAATTAGGCATACAACTTCCTATATTTTCACTAGTAATACCACAAAAGGTAAAAAAATGTCAGGATTTAAATTAACCTCGCGCGGTATTCAGCAAAAAATTTCCACAAATTTTGTTTAAACCAAAATCATTTTAAAATTATATTTTTTGACTTTTAACAATGCCTGATTTCTACTTATTGTAGTTGCACGGAAATAGCATTTTAAGACCAAAATCATTTTAAAATTATATTTTTTGACTTTTAAAAATGCCTGATTTCTACTTATTGTAGTTGCACGGAAATAGCATTTTAAGACTTAACATAGTACATTCTTTAATTTTACTTTGAGTTACTACAAGTGGTAGAAAATTGCATTTTTGCGATTTTATTTAATTTTTTTATGTACCTACCTACACTAGCGTGCATAACCACCGGGAGCAAACATCATAGAAAAAAGGAGGTGACAGAAGAATACAGAAAACATCTTAACTATGTAATTGAAATGTATCAAAATTAAATAAAGAAATTACTAATATTGACAAAAAAAAATATTCTTTGATTTTGTCAAAAAATTTGGTTACCTACCCAAGCGAAAAAAAATGTCCACAAACAACATGTGTTGCTATGGTGACCTGTCAAAAAACCTGATTGGTTAAAAAGTAGTGGTGTAGAAAATTTTTGCAAAGAGAGGCTTTTGAGAACACCCCGGACAATATTCGTGATATTCATACGAACATCATGTCGTGATTTTCACAAATTTTATTTATACTGATATCATACGGAAGTCACCTCGTGATAAATGAAAATCATACGAACGTCACGTCGTGATTTTCACAAATTTTATTTATACGGACATCATCTGGATGTCACTGCGTGAGAAATGAATATCATGTCGTGATTTTTTATGCCATCGCTGTTTGCGATTGACCGATAGCACAAAAAATCATGTCGTGATTTTTTATGCTAACGGTGTTTGGATAATCATTTTTGCGCCACGTTCGTACACTAAGAGAAAAATTATGTTGAATCGACAGTTTTTGCGGTTAAATACATTTAATATTTTTTTGGATTTAAATTAACTATATATAATTAATTTAAATCCAAGAAAATATTGAATGTTAAACTGTTGATTCAATTGTTAACATACTTTTTCTTTCAATGTACGAATGTGCCGCAAAAATGAATATCCAAACACCGATGGCATAAAAAATCATGACATGATTTTTTAGGCCATCGGTCAATCGCAAACAGCGATGGCATAAAAAATCACGACATGATTTTCATTTCTCACGCAGTGACATCCGTATGATGTCCGTATGAATAAAATATGTGAAAATCACGACGGGACGTTCGTATGATTTTCATTTATCACGAGGTGACTTCCGTATGATATCAGTATGAATAAAATTTGTGAAAATCACGACATGATGTTCGTATGAATATCACGAATGTTGTCATTCAATTAAAAAAGATATTCCAATGTTTAACAAAACGTTCACGATTGTTGTTCTGGACTTAATAGTGCTTCCTGAAACTTTAGTTATTTTAAAATGTCTAACCAAAAAGTTTATAAAGCTTCTGATGAAATTTCAAAAACTTATGACAACAGATTGAAAATAACCGATTTTAGACGAATCGCAATATTTTAGCTATTTTTATAAATGACTAACTAATAAAGTCTTAGTAATAAAATTCTAGTCACTTTTTAAAAAACAATAAAAAAATCTTTTTTGAAGATTTTTGATTTTTAAAGTGTGCCCCTTCTAATATATTAAATAAAATTCAAAAACGCACCAATACAAAAAACTAAACATCTAATAAATTAATAAATACCTATTCAACTCTATAAATAGTACAAGGTAAAAAAAAAATAATAAATAAATTTTAAAGCAACAGTATTTAAATGAAATTGGTTGATTTAATATAAATTTGATAGTAATATAATTAAATGTATTATTGTGTACCTAAATGCTCTCTTAGTTCTTCTGGAAACAACCTTTCAGCACCTCTAATAGAGTACTTCTGCCTCATATTAAAAACATTTCTAACAACTTTTTCAACAACAGCAAATGGCATTTCAATTAGTGGATTTTTAAGAGGATATAATGTAACCACCCCCACATCCACTTTTGGTTTTGGTACAAATGCCTTTCCAGGTATCGTAAACTTGTAATCAATATCACACCAAAACTGGCACATCACAGATAGTCTGCAACGTTGTTTTTCTCCCACTTGTGCCACCATTCTTTCAGCCACTTCCTTTTGAAATGTAAGCGTCATTGATGTGCGTCCGAAGCTCCATGCAGAAGATTTTTCTGAGATTGACTTCAACCAACGAACTAATAAGTTTGTTGAAACACTAAAAGGCAGATTTCCTGTGAAACAATTTTAATTTTATTAATTTTATAATTAACACTGCAAATTTTCAATTAATTTTTTGAAAATAAGATACATTTCAGGTCTATTTACTAAGATTTTATTACAACTTTTTTATTATTTTAGTTTTAATTATTATAAAAGTTCAAATACATTTCTGATGTGCATCAGAAGCTCCATGCAGAAGATTTTTCTGAGATTGACTTCAACCAATGAACTAATAAGTTTGTTGAAACACTAAAAAGCAGATTTCCTGTGAAACAATTTTAATTTTATTAATTTTACAATTAACACTGCAAATTTTTAACTAATTTTTCAGTTTTAATTATTATTAGCTCCAGGTTACAACTTTTATAACATTGACTTGTAACTTACAAGTCAATGTTATAAAAGTTCAAATACATAATAGTTATTATCCACAAGGATGATTAGCAAGCTAGTTCAAGTTCAAATATGTCACAAGCTCATATTAAAATTCTAAACCAGATAAAAACTAGTCTGCAACTTTTTGTGTTTGACAACTGTAATAAAAATAAAGAAACTTACCAATAAGATGTATAGGTGGTGGAGCCTCATACCAATTATGTTTAGGTACATTAATGAATCCATTATCAAAATTATAGGAACGTATATCACCAATTTCAATTTTCATGTCTGTTACACTAGCACACGATTCTTGCAGCAACTCTAGAGTAGGTATAAATCTAGGATCCTTTTCCACCACAATAAGCTTGTGAGGCTGCCTTTTGATAATAGATCGAGTAATGCCACCTGGCCCAGGACCGACTTCGCAAACATAGTGATTTTGTATTTTTCCTGCAGCTTTTACTATTTTGTCGGTCAAACGTTCATCCATCAAAAAGTTTTGAGATAGTTGCTTTAGCGCTTTAAGACGATACAACTTTACCAAGTCTCTAATGGTTGGTAAAGGTGGTAGACGAATATGCTTTGCTGCAGATACTACTTTTGATGATTGATTCATTATTGTGTGGTTTTGGCAGGCTCGTCGAAATCGTCCAGGAAATTTTCCTGTTTTACTGCATACATGGAATAACCATATATGCCCAAAATTCCAGCACCTAGTATACCAGCTGTAATAAGATTGTTCCTTCTTAACTTCTTTAATTTCTCCACTCTCACTCTATTTTTCTCTTCAATGTTCTTAATAAAATTCAATTCAGTCTTGTTTAGCTTGCTTAGATCTATTTTGGGCATACGATCACTTTGAGACATGTTTTTTAGATTATTTTTACAGAGAATCTCGCATTGCACGAAATTACGCAGATAACCTCAAATTTTGACAGGAATACCCGGTTAACTTCACAATGGTCTAAAATTAAAATGTCCAAAAATCCCTTTTAAGAATAATAACTTGAAAACATAGAATTTTTTACTTTTATAAAAACTTTATTTTTACATAATAATAAAGTATATTTTATAAGATAAGAGAAAACTATGATTAAGTTTACATAACCTCAAAATTTAGTGACATGAAGTTAGCCGCAGTTAAGAAAAAAAGGCGAAAATCTGTTTATTTTCGGAATATGTGATAGATGTAGCCAAAACAGAATAAAATAATTCCTTTAAGAATGGCAGAAGATGGTCTCCCATCGCAAAATCATTCAGAGAATCAAGAAAACACCGAGGATTCCGACAATGAAATTGGGGAAAGGCCCCAACAATTAAGGTTGGATTTAGGTGACGATTCATCACATCCCTTTGATACCCCAAATACCACGGCTTCTGGTAAGAATTTCTTTTTATTTTGTCAATAATTTCTTTAAATGTATTTTTCTTTGTCTTTCCATTGGGGACGCAAATTTCTTTTTAATTATGTATAACACACACAGTTTTGCTTAAGTACTGATTTATGCAAGTTGATTCAGGAGGAAACTGAAATACCTAAGAAGGTGGTGAAATAGCGTATTTTAGGTAGAAATTTCTTATTAATATGTTTTCGATATGTTTTTAATATTAGTTTTATTAAGAAGATAATGTTTTTCCAACCACACCAATATTAGGATATGAATATTATTGTTACAAACTGAACTGTATTTAAGACCATGCAGCAGAATAGAAGGTTGTTTAGTTTGTTCAGTCTTCGTTCATATTCGGTTGCCCTTATGACACATGAAGAAGTTCCATTTTTTGTTGTTAAAAATAACTTTGACCAAACAATAATTATGAATATTTTTATTTTAAAGCATAGCCCCTTATTAATATTATTTAATAAAAAAAATTAATTATTTTATTTTAGGAAGTAGTTTGGAAACTCAAAAAAGAGATGACAATCCATTTTCATTTAAACATTTTCTGAGGGATATGACAAACTATCAGAACAAAGGTGCAAGGCCCAAGGTGTACTGTGAAGGTCGTCCTGTCCCAACAGCGCAAGAAATGGCAGGTGATATGAAAAAAAATCGGGTAGGACCTGAACTTTCTTCAGCCTTGCCAGATTTTGTTCAGGATCATCTGGTCATCGAACAATGTTACCTAGGAGGAAGGGGAAGTAACCCCAATTACATGTTGGATATGAATTTGCCAGATTTTACCCCATCTAGAGAGAATTTAAGCAGGCAAATTCACCATGAAGATAATGCTTTAAATATACCTTTGGACTTGCCTAGACCTCCTACAGGGTTTCCTTTGGACCTTCCTATTAACAATGGACCACCAGAAAACAGATCAAATATACCAGCTGAGGTAATTTTTCCAAAAATATAGTAGGTAGTCAGTTTTCTGTAAATATCTTATTTTTAGGTTGGCAACTCTAAAAGTTTGCCGGATTTTTTGGCTGATAGCGCTTTGTGCTGTGATAATCCATTGACTCAAAGTCCTGAAGCAAACCCTCAACCACTGCAATATGAAGTGGACATTTTAGGTAGGCAACTGGCAGCTCAAATCAAAATAACAGATAGTTTGCAAAGGGAACTACAAATTGCCAAAAACAAAGAAAACGAGTACACACAGAACTTGGCCAAGGCACTAGAACAGGTTGAAGAAAATTTGGAAAAGAGTAATGTGAGTTTAAATATCTTATGAATTTTAAATGTCACAAGTGAAGCAAATGCAATTTGGTTTTACACAAATACGAAATTTATGTTTCTGCCCACTAAAATCAACAATTTTTTTTTGTAAAGTATATCAAAAATATTGTTTGGGGTGACAAAAAAAAGTTATGGTGAAAGTTTGAGTCCACAATATTAATATTAAGAGGTCTATCATCGCAATTTTAGATTTTTTTTTCCTGAGCGAGTTTTTGTCGCAGAACTCAGAACCATTGAGTTAAACAAAATTTACTTAAGAATATTTTTTAAAGAAAATTGAATGTTTTACAAAAAAGGTTTCATTGGAATTTCCCGTCAGATGAACCGTTTTCTTACAATCTTGCCTTAAAAATTGGTATAGTTTTACAATTTAATCTTTAAACTTTGGAATTTTGTAATTCATGTAAAAATCAGTACCCGGAAAAAAACCGATAGATATTCTTATGGGAAATCAAATGCTCTACAAAAAAGGCTAAATTCACTCCATCAAAAGTTATTCAAGGGTAAATTTGAAGTCAAAACGAAATTCTTGTTTTTTCCGCTCTAGATTTTTTTTGGGTCAGTTAAAAACTTGAATTGTTTTATTGATGATAATCTGAAAATTAAAAAAAAATAATGAATTCGAATTTTTTCGCTTTAAGAAGCTATTTTCTTTAGAAAATATTATTTTCACTTTTACCTATTTAATCATTTAAATAATAACAATCTTTTTTTTTATTGGAAATTGTTAGCTATAATACACATTTTTAAAGAAAAAAATCAAATTATCATCCTTAAAAAAATAAATCTACAGAGGAAAAAACAAAAATTTCGTTTTGACTTCAACTTTAATCTTGAATAACTTTTGATTGAGTGAATTTTGTAAAGCATTTGATTTCCCATAGTAATATTTATCGTTTTTTTCTGGGTACTGATTTTTACATGAATTACAAAATTCCAAACTCAATGGTTAACACGCTAAGGAAAAAAAAATTAAAATTGCGATAATAGACCTCTTAATTTTCGATATACTTTTAAAAAAAAATTGTTGATTTTTTTGGCCCAGTGTGTCCAATTAAGTCGGAACCATATTGGTTTTATAAAAAAAAGTTATTGTTGATAAAAAGTTCTGCATAGTCAAAAACTTGAAGTGCAACCATCAGATATCAATTTTTTTAAGCCACATACAAGGCTAGTCTCAGGAGTAAAGTACCTTTTTTTTGTTGAAAATATCTTAAAAAATGATATCTGATGGTTGCATTTTAAGTTTTCGACTGCAAAACTTTTTATCAAGAATAACTTTTTTTCATAAAACCAATAATAAAAAAGTTTTCCATATGGTTCAGACTTAATTGGACACACTGTATATACACTTGATCCAGGCAAATGCGAAAAGTAAAAATCTTAAAGAGTGGTTGTCTCATGGCAATTCAGCTGATTTATTTTATTTTTTTTTAAGGTGTTCTTTTAAAAAAGATTTGTCATGTTATTTTTTTACCATTTTACCAAAATGGCACAACGGTATGCCACTCTGTAGGGAGGGTTATTTTAAGAATACAAAATATTAAAAAAAAACATACTACTACTACTACGAGCCCTAACCACAAAATGTTCAGACACTTAATAATTTAAGTATACAGAAATATTTTTCGTGAATACTATCTCAAAATTATTAGAAGTTATGAAAAATTCAGCTTATTTTGGCATATACCCCTCGAAGCGATTTTTATTTTTAAAAAGTTTACCTTTTATTTTTAGCTTTTAAGAAAAGGCTAACTTTTTAACTTTTTTTTGTATGAGTAAAAAAAGTTATAAATGGGCCCATTAAAAAGAACATAAAATATTATACAAACCCTGAAAATTTGGTAAAAAATAAATTAGTTATAAAAAAGTATAAGTAATTTAAAAATGCTATTTTTAAAGAGTTTTTGCAATTTTCTTAGGAAACGGGAGATTTTGCAGATATATATATCGTTATAACTTTCTTATTATTTATACAATTTTTACCAAATTTTCAGGGTTTGTATAATATTTTATGTTCTTTTTAATGGGCCCATTTATAACTTTTTTTACTGATACAAAAAAAATTTAAAAAGTTAGCCTTTTCTTAAAAGCTAAAAATAAAAGGTAAACTTTTTAAAAATAAAAATCGCTTCGAGGGGTATATGCCAAAATAAGCTGAATTTTTCATAACTTCTAATAATTTTGATTGAATTCACGAAAAATATTTCTGTATAAATTATTAAGTGTCCGAACATTTTGTGGTTAGGGCTCGTATTCACGAAAAATATTTCTGTATAAATTATGAAGTGTCCGAACATTTTGTGGTTAGGGCTCGTATATAGTTTTTAAGTTTAGGGTTTTACATTTCATTTAATTTTTTTATAGTTTTATTTATTTATTTATTTAAAAGTAAAAAAACAATTTTCTAAAAAAAATTCCAAAATATAAAGTTAAAATTTGTTAATAATTATTTTAAGATAATGTTAATTTTAACTCTCAGCAGATGAGCTATTATTTTCATTACAACCTTTTTTAGATGTGGCTTAGAAAATACCCTTAGTTTTTATCATTGACAAATTTTTAAAATAAAGTAAAAAAAAATAATTTTTAAACCCGTATAAGTGAAAAAGTACTCTATAAAAGTAGGTACTCCTTAAAAAAAGTGTTGAAATTTTTTTCATACTTGAAATAAACCCATACAACAGTTGTCGCAGAATGTATCTTTTACGGCTTACGTCAACCACTATGATTGGTTGACATAAGACGTAAATCGAAAAAGATACATTCTGTGACAATTATAGACCTGGCTTTAGTGCGCTATTGCCATAACATAAATTGTAACTTATAAGGTAATTGACTCCCAATTTATTAAGAAAAGTGTTTATTTATTTATTTTATTTAATTTTCAGAGGAAAGCAGCCACATCAACAAACACTATACAAAGGTTAAAACAAGAAATTAAATTATTAAATGTAAGTTAGTATAAACCAATGATAGTATGTTTATCCCCTAAAAAAAATTGTGACATACTGTAAACACGGGTGGCTTTAGCTCACTTTCAAACTTAATCTTAACATTTTTGTAGTTTTAACTATCATGAACATTAAATATTGTATACCAAAATTTGAGTCTTGAGTTGCTCTTTCATAATAAGTATGTTATATTACATAGGACTGAGTTTCAAAAATAAAAATTAAAAACTGGGTGTGCAAAGTTACCCCCTGGTTACTTTGTCTCACAGTGTATTTTCCGTATAAAATTTACTCAATATTTTATTTTTATTAGACATATGTTGGCAGCGACATATAGCAATTGCAAGGGATTACCGATAAAAACAATAAAAAATCGACCTGTAGTTAACCAAGGATCATAATTCCAAAGAATTGCGCATAATATAGAAATTGAATCGCGTGTATTTTTAAGAGTTTTGCACTAATGCAATATATACAACTTTAAAGTGTAATAAATCCCATTTATTTTTTTAAAACACTGATTTTCCTGTAATATAAACTCAATAGAATCGCTCAATGGACAGGTTTAGACCAACAAATTATAAATGTTAATTTTATCGAGCGCGAATTTTTTTTTTATAAAAGGGCCAAAGTCACCCGTGTTTACGGTACTTTAAGAGATGTTACGTGAAAAATACGCATTCGTTTTTTGTTCTTTTTCATGTTTTTTCACCTTTTTTCAAATTTTATGTTTTTTTTTAAACAGTGTCATATTCCTATTTTTGTCGTTTTGTTGCCATTCCAATACAGTAAAAAATTAGAATTATCCCGACTAACAATTTGCGAAATTTTTAGTAAAAGATTCGCGCATTTATTTCACGAAAATTTGCAAATAATTTGGTAACAATACATATCGAGAATTTTAACGAAAAAGTGACAATACATTTTTGAATATCACAATGTTAATTACAATATTCAATATATGATTTTGTTATGTTTAAAGTGCCAAATAGGAAAATGGAAAATCTAGTTTCAAAAGCAATTGACCTTAAAACTTTTTATGATATTAATGGGCTTGTTTAATGAAGCAGTTCTCGTTCATTCTCGGACTAATAATAATAAATAATAATCATTTAAAAAGATTTTTAAAGATATAATATGATAAGAAAAAACTAAAATTCAAATTTAATCCACCTATTAAACATATTGGAATAAAATAAGCATGATTTATTATTTATTTTTTAGTTAACTAATTATTTTTATTTAGGAAAACTTACATGTCAACATTTTTGAGTTTCAGTCTCGCCCTTTTTCCTAAAAACTTCTCCATATTAATTTGTTATTTGATATTCACATGTAGTACCACTTGTTGATAATTGTTTATTAAACACAAAAAGCACTTTGACTTGGAACAATAAAAACAAGAGCTTAATACCTATGTATTTCGTTCCATTTCATTAAATAGGGGTAGGTGCTCACTGCGCCGCACAGCGTCTATCGGAAACTATCGATAGTGCAAAAAAATTATAAATAGTATTCGATACTCAAAATTATCGATAATTATCGATATTGCTATAGAAAATAATATAATTTATTGATGCAAAAATAAAAGTATTTAACATAGGTCAGCATAAAATATAACAATATACATACATACACATATCAAATATTACAATATAAAAAGAACAATAACAATAAAAGAAATAAGGTAGAATAATTTTGTACATAGGTAATTTAGATCATAGAATTATTAATACATCAGACTGAATAAATATTGTAAAAAGCGCTAGCGATCAGATACTTTTTTATCACATTTTGGTAAGAAGAAAATGGGAAATAGTTTCACTTGAGAAGGCAGTTTATTGAAAAATAAGGAGGCATAGTGGGAAAAGGCGTTTTTGGATATATTTAGTCTAAGGAAATCTATTCGCAAGTTTCCTCGAGAACGGGTGTAATAGTTATGAACATCTGAGTGGAGATTATATTTATCCCAGTTTTGTCTTGCATATATATATTATATAATAAGCATTCATAGATGTTATAAATTGTTAATATGTTAAAATCCACAAATTTTCTTTTAATATCCTCGCGATACTTCAATTTTCCTAGAATTCTTAGAGCTCTATGTTGTAATCCAAATATTCTGCTGGCATGCGATGAATGGCCCCAAACTAAAATTCCATAGGTTATGATTCCTTGGATTAGTGCGTTAAAAATCTTCTTAGATATATTGTAATCTAGAATATTAATAGTATCTACATTTTAATAAATATTTATGTTTAGTAACCTTCAGTTTCATTTATATGTGGCTCAAATGACAGTTTAGGGTCTAATTAAGTTAATTCCAAAAAATTTGACATGCTTATAATTTTCCATACATAAACTGTTTCGTAAAGAAAATATTATTTTGTCAGTTTTGGTTTCATTTAAACTTAGCTTATTTACACTAAACCAATCACCTATATTCGCCAGGCCCGCAGAACGTCGTAATCACCATTTTTGTTATAAAAGGTCGTGTCGTCAGCATCAGGTTCTCCGAACCCAACGCCGAGGATACATCATTTACATAAACAAGAAACAGCAAAGGGCCCAGAATCGAACACTGTGGGATGCCATGCTTTATATCCTCTACATCCGAAATTCTGTTGTAAATGACCGATTATAATCACAGTACGACAAAATTTGATTTTTGGTCCCTCCCATGAAAAATTTCTACAGATTCTAAAAATAGAGTTAAAAAAATGATACCCGTGTCTCGGCGTTTTTTCACATCACGTCATAATTTTTTTTAAGGGCTATCCAATAAAATGTTATTCACACTATTCGCGACATAATTTAATAGACTCCATAACAGCTGGACTGCATAGTTAAACATATATATATTAACTAAATGGATAGGCAACCATTATAGATGCATTTTAAAATAATTTTAATCTTATACAGAGTTTTGCACATTTATATATATATATATATATATATATATATATATATATATATATATATATATATATATATATATATATATATATATATATATATATCAAACGGTTTATTTTTAAACCAAGTAACAAAATGTTTCAATTTTAAGCCAATCAAAATGCTTTAAAGTCGGGTGATTAAAATTTTTATTTATTCAATTTTTTGTAAAAATTGAGCTTTGTTGAATTAACATTTTTAAAAAAATTAAAAGATATTTCATTGTTTTAATGTACTATATTAATGCGCCATGCACTTAATTGATTGCACCCTATATTTCTTACTGTTTCAATTGACTTCGTATAGACTATACTTAAATAATTTTTTTTTAAATGTTTAATAAAAACATTATTGCAGCGATAAATCGATAAATTTTTCATATTAATTTTGATTGTTGAGTTAACCATCCATTTGAAATCAAAGTAAAAATTCAGTGTCCGAATCGAAATAATTTTTGTTATGTATGTGGTTTATTTGCACCTCCAAGCCATATGCGAAATATTACAAAAAGTGTAGTAACAGCTTTTGAAGACTATTTTTTGGTGACGTATATACCAAACTTATGGTATGTACCAGCTGGTACCTCTAGAGGTTTTATGCGATTATTGTTACCGTTGTTTGCATGGATTGCAAGATAAAACACACAGTATGAAATATGTTGCACCAACAATTTGGCTTCGACCCGTCGCGACATACCGAACACGCATCTGACCAGTGTTATTTCTGCATGTCAAAATTAAAAAGTTTTGGATTTCGGTACTAGAGAGAAAATTGATTACGCCGATGTAGAATCCGTCATTCTCGCAAGAGTGCGATCTGAAGATTATCCAACTGCTCCTTCAGAAAACATATGTGAGGATAAAAGTAAAAGACTTTTAACACCCAGTACAACCATTTTTTCTGAGATGGAATCTGAATTTATTCCCTGTAGTTCGAGTTATAAAGTAAATTTTATAACACAGGACATGAAAGTGTCACTGAAAATACATTTTCTCCATGCTCATTTGGACTATTTTCCACCAAATTTGGGCGATTTTAGTGACGAACATGGCGAACGTTTTCACCAAGACATTTTAACAATTGAAAAACGCTTTAAGGGAAAAGACGTCAGGCATTTGCTGGGTGAATATTGCTGGTCAATTGTTCTAGATTCTGAAGCAATATACAGCCTGTTCAGAATAAAACCGAATATATCTATATATATATATATGGGGCGTGGCCTCGCCTCCCTCCAAGGCGCGTCACAGTTGCTTGTGTGATAAACGACATGACGAAAGGTCGAGCAGGTAAGGACTTAAAAAATTAAATGATAATAATGCAAAAAATCTCATTAGCGATGCAGTCTATTTGCTTAGCTACTGTGTCGCGCCTTGGAGGGAGGCGAGGCCACGCCCCATATATAGATATATTTGGTTTTAGTCTGAACGAGCTGTATAATCGTCAAACTAAACGACCAAGATTTTATTCCAACATGTATTGAATATAAGATAAATACAAAAAGGTGTTTCATTAAAAAAAAAATAAAAAAAATTATTTAAAAAAATCAAAATATAAACTTTTTTTATATTTGTTTTTTGTATTGTGTAAAAACATACAATATTTACAAAAAAATATATTTTTAACCGAGTAAAAATGTACAATCTGTATAAGCATAAATAATAGGAATTACGGCTTAAAATTTTTTTATGACGTGATCTCGTGAAACTGTGAGACACGGGTACGTTTTTTTTACCTCTATTTTCAAAATCTGCTAAAATTTTTCATGGGAGGGAAATCGTGTTGTACTGTGTTATTTCCTTATAGAAACCAAGTATTGGTTGGTATCAATAGGTCTGAATTGGACTTACTGGGTTTAATTGGGAGCGATATAAAACAGAAATTGGTTTTTACTGGTATTTTCCATGATGGATTCTACTGTTTTTTAGTGCTTTCAATTGGTTAAAGCTACCAATAGGTAATTTCCAATTGAATTCATTTGGGTATTCCCAGTATAGGATTCTAGAAAGGAATCTGCTAATTGGTTATTCCCAATACTTTAAAATATGGAAAAGTCCAATTAGGATTCTACTGTTTTTTAGTGGTTTCGATTGGTTAAAGCTACCCACAGGTAATTTCCAATTGAATTCAATTGGGTATTCCCAGTGTGAGATTCTAAAAACGAATCTGCTAATTGAGTCAGTTTCTTTTATAATCTATGGGTTTCTGTGCTTAGTGGCAGTTGTGTACTTGTATTGGTGTGTACTTATACCTTAAAAAAATGTTTATATGTGTAAGGATGGCGTGAAAATGGTGGTTACAGCGGACAAAATAAAAAAAAAATTGACATAAATAATATTGATTTCGACCATGGCTACAAACATCCCTTGCATGAAAGACAAAAAAAATATAACCGAGTAATTTTATTTATTGTTATTACTTTTTTTGTGTTATCTTACTAACACAAAAAATATTAAATAAATATAGTTACCCAGTTATAATAATTTTTTTCTCTTCTGTGAAAAAAGAATTCTGGTTTTTACTTAGTTATTCTTCTGGGATCTTAATTATTTTTGTTCATAGCGCAAAAACATTTCAAACCAATTCAATCCAATTACTTATTTTTTATTGGATTCTATCGGTCATTTACAATAGGGTTGTTCTTTGTAACTCTCCATCAGCCTCTGACCCACATCATCAAAACAATATGCCTTCAACTTGCTTAGTAATATTTTATGGTCTACACAGTCAAGTGCTTTTGATAGGTGGCAAAACGTTGCACCTATAAATCTTTCTTAAATACTGAAATTACTTTGGAACATTTAAACTTATCAGGAAAAACCCCTTCTTTAATGCATTTATTTAACAGTTTTGTTAGAGGAATTATAAGAACATTTTTAAGGCCCTTTACTAGTTCCATGCTTATTTCGTAGATGTCCCTGCTCTGCTTACATTTCAAAGTATCTATTGCCTCCCGGACTTCGTTGAATGATAATTCTTTAAATGAATATGATATTTCTCCACCCTTGCGGCCTTGAGTTTACGGTGAATTCACCGTTTGCGTGAATTCACCGTGAATACACCGTTTATGTGCAGTGAATATACCGTCCATTTGTGACATTTGTAGACGGTAATTAAACGTTGAACTCACGCTGTTTTTGCGATAAATTCACGGTAATTTCACGGTTAATTCACGGTGATTTCACGGTAAATTCACGGTGAACTCAAGTTTGCAAAATCACCGCAAATTCACTGTGAAAGTACCGTAAATTTATCGTGAAATCACCGTAAAAGCGCTGTGAGTTTACTGTGAAAACACCGTAAATTGACTGTGAAAACACCGCAAATTGTAAGTGTGTTAAGCGGTTTAAGCAATACATCTCACGGCTGCTTACGCAAGCGAGCCAACTATAAATAGCGTTGGGTTGCAATATTTAGTTGGAAGTGTGCGTCTGTAATGGCATAGCTAAACATTAATTGTTTGAAGTCCCCATCTCCATCCTCATCTGCTCAGTAACGAATAATGGCTAGCTATAGTCGATTGTGTTAAACCTATAGGATATACCTACTTTTGCGGTCTTGAGTTTACCGTGAATTCACTGTGAATTCACCGTGAATTTACCGTGAATATACCGCCAAAATACGGTGGATTCACAATTAAAATACTGTGAAAAGTGCGTGAATTCACCGTTTAACTACCGTTTACAAATGTCACAAACAGACGGTTTATTCACGGTGAATTCACAGTGAATTCACGGTGAATAAACCGTGAACTCAAGGCCGCAAGGGCACCACTAAGAGAACTGCTTGATCAAACAAGCCTGATGTTAATTATTTGACAGAATATGCCTTATTGTGAAATTTTGTAGTGCGGTTTAAAACCTTTTTTTATTCAAATCTGAAAAAACCGCTTTTTACATCTCTACATAGTAATAAACCCCTAAGTTGCTACCTGTTTACTTAGACGGTAATACTGATCCTTTCACTTTGATTTCATTTTGAATGCAGAATACAGGGTGGTCCGGGTTAAACATCATTAAGGGGACTTTCTCCAGAAAATATTTGAGAAATGCTTTTGAAATTCGTATTTTTGAAATGATTTTCAAACCTTTAAATTCAAAAATCTCCTTAACAAAGCCTCTAATCAAAATTTTCCAAAAATAATAATTAGGAGCTGAAAAATATGGGAAGAGTGGAAGCCCCTGAATAATTTTAATGTAGCGTGTTATCACTCTTTGATTGAGAACTATTTATGTGAACATAGGTTCAAATTTGGACAAAATCGTTCATTCTCTATCGATCCTTATATTTAATGCCGTTTAACCCGGACCACCCTTGATATGGTACCTTATTCACATTAATATTTGTAATTTTATAGATTCAAATAAACGAGTTAAAAAGAGAAAATCAAAGTTTGCGAGGTGAGGAAGCAGCAGGCGGTTATGATTATAATACCGGTAGTTCAAATGGCCTACATAATCGACGATTGGCTCAGGAACTACGAACGGCGGCCAGCACAGCAGAACATTCCTTAAGGTATTTAAAAATGTATTTTTAATGTACCTTTATACTGACATTATAATTCTAGGCAACTGCTAACAGGGGTAGACAATTTAAGAATAATGGCAGCCTCACTTGAAAACGTGCACAGAATAGAGGAGCAAAGTGACCCATTTCTGGATAAAGACGACTCGGGTCCGGCTCTTTAAACAAAACCCGGTTTATATAATTTTTATTAGTTGTTTTAAAAATAATGTACATAATTAAATTAATTTATTGCTGAGACAAAAATTTTTATACATGTGATTTTATTTATATAATACTTAGATTTGGTATTAACAAGTATTGTATACAGCCTCATTTTTAAAAACTGTTCAGGATTCCGATTCACTAAAATGAAGAATTTATTAGAATTTCCTTGTAAAAATTGTTCTCTGAAAAACTGGGAAAGTTTTAATAAGAAAAATAAGAGTTTTGAAAGTCTTACTTTCTCTTAAAAACTCAGAAGACTTATGAAGTCAGAAAAACTCAAAATAAAACTTATTAAGTTGGAATAAGACTTATTAAGTCAGACCAAGCAAGTCTTGGAAGAGTAATTCTGACTTAAAAAACTTTCAGCACATAAGTGGTCTAAAGAAAACACGAAGAAAAGTATTTATTAACGTTTTGTTATTCGGGTTATAATATACACATTTATTTTTATCGCTATAGGTACCACTTCTCTGCTGACTCCCAAATCTTGCTATAAGTCTGACTTACTGTCTTATTTCGACTTAATAAGTTTTCTAGTTTTTAAGAGAAAGTAAGTCTTTGAAAACTCCTATTTTAACTTATTAAAAATTTATTAGTTTATCAGAAAAAAATGTCCACAAGGGTTGAGATTTAATTAATTTTAGTTGTTTTACTGCCCTATGTCTTTCTAAAATCTAAATTAGACTAGTTAAAAATTTATTGTATGTTCTATACAATTTTTATTTTGTCAATTAATACCCATGTGATTTATGTAATTCATTCAATGAGGATATGCATTAAAAGTGACCCACAAAAGCTCATGAGCTTTTGTGGGTCACTTTTAAACCAAATCAGGACTGCAAATATTTCTGAACTGGTTCAAAATTAATTCTCTAACAAAGCCATTATATCATACCGATAAATCTCAAAAACAATTATTATTTTTAATATATTTGTATATTAGTTTCTTCATATTACTGGAATGAATGTTTTATTTTACCTTACCTTTTAAAACGGAAATCAAACCACCTTTAAATTATAAAAAAATATATTTAAACAATTAAGGATGAACATAAGTACAAATCTTGTAACATTATAATAAATAACAGGTTTTTAGTAAGTACATATTTACAAGAGTTATTTTTGTAGCAGGCCACAATTTTTAACCACAGTTATCCATTTAAATAATTATTGCTTTCTTTTTTAATATAGGCACGTAAGGCTCCAATATGTAGTCAATCAATTTTTTAACAAGAAATTTAAAATTGTATATTCAAGAAAATAAAAGCAAATTCTTTATAAATAAAATGAATGAAATTTAAATAATTTAGAAAATACATATACAATAAAAGTTGGTGCTTAAAATTATTCTATACTATATTAATATAATAACTTAACCAAATATTTTTTACCTCTATTAAGTACTAATTACAACAAATTATTAAATTATCACAATTTTTGGAATGTTTAATTTTAATCTCTAGATAATAACAAAAAAAATTGTTTCTAAAAATTATTTGCGTAAACATTATGGGTTCTGGCAGTATTAGTATTTAAAATGAAAGTACAAATAGCTGTACAAATTTAAATTGAAAAATCTTAAACTTTAATAGGAAATTAACCGAAAAAATTCTAAAGTTCTAAAATATGTATAATACAAATTTAATCAGTTATTAGTAAGTAGCTACACTTATTAGACTTACAGTGCTAAAATATAGGGAAAAATGGTATATGGACGGAAAAAAGAAAATAGTATGTTTGTATAAAAATTAATACTGAATTGATTAAGTATACTTATAGTATGCAATTCAATGTTATATATTGTTGATAATTTATTTACTGGATAGTTAAAAACTGAATATGTTGCACATAATCAATATAGATTGTAAAATAAATGGGTTGAAAAAGTTTATAAAAGTTCTAAAAAAGTATTAATAGTACACTTAAACGTTATTAAGCCTAGAAGGCTATTGCATTATACGGAGCTTGTTAGTAAAATATTTAATTAAACTGGTGTAGCTTTAACCTGAGTTTATAAATTGCCGTCCGCACATCTATAAAATATAAAGAATACGCCATAGTACAAGCCAAGCAGTGGTGGATTAACCATATTGGCTAGGGAGTGCCTAAGCTGATATCTAATTTTATTTATACTACAGATAATACATTTTTATAACACTGGTCAACAGTAATTATGGTGCATATATAAAACAACTTTTGACCTACATTCTTTAAGGTGTTGCAGAATATTCATTCTAGGGTAATTAAAACTCGAAAATATATATTTTTTATCAAATACTCTGAGAATCGATCATTGGAACAAGCAAACAGCAAAAATTGGGAAATAAAAAAAATTGTCTTATGCAATTTTTCCGTATTATCCGTAGTACGAATTGGAAAATATTTTTTCCAATTTTTTACATCTATTTCCGTATTATCCGTAACACAGATACTACGGATAATACGGAAAAATGCAAAATTAAATTTTTCTGCTAGGACCGCTTTACGGAAAAATTTATTAACGACCTTAAGTAAAAAAAACAATAATTCATAAATAACATAAAAATGCTCCTTTTATTAAAATATGTCTATTTTTAATTTTCCCAAAAAAGGCCGGTTTTTTTTCGACGCTTTACAACGCTACCTTTAAATATCATGTTTTAAATAAAAAAAGAAAATTTAAATCCGAGAACAAAAATTTTTTTAATTCGACTTTTTGTCCGATTTAAATGAAATTTACTAAATTTTTAGCTTCATCCATTTACTTTATTGTGTTAAGATTTCAACGATTAAAAAATTTCCAAAGAAACATTTATTAATTAGAGTTGCACAAATACACGTGCGGTACCATTTTTTCAATTTTTATCTGATTGCGTAAAGAGGTTAGATAGAGGAAGGTACAAATTTATTGAAATTGGATATTATTGTTCATGTAACACCATTTTAAATTTTGAAAACTTTGGATAAAAAATGTATAATTTTTTGAGTTTAGTCAGGACCACAGTCTTATATACCAGTATTGCAACTTGGCCGAATTTTAGTAGAAAAAGTGAATTCGCTATTGAGACAAAATTCAGGTGGCGCTGTGAGACGAGAGTAAACGGTGAAATAAAGTACTACATAACACAACCCACATTTTTAAAATCCAACGGGCACGCGGGTTTTGTTTACATTTTCTAAAATGAGAGTTGTGTCGGATAATAAACGTGTATTTAAGTCGTGAAGTGATTCTTATTTGAGTCATGCCAAAGTCCTGTGTTGTACCATGTAATCGTCATAAAAAGGTGAGCCAAATGTGTCAATGAGTTTTTATTGATTTTTGTAAAAATCTGTTGATAATAACTAAAAAAACACGTTAAATCATTTTTTGAAATTCTTCACCGTTTTTATTATATTTAGTACCTAAGATTTTACAAAAGAAAAATTTATAACTCAATAACGCAATAATCCTAAGAAAATTTTTTTGACAGTTGAGCAGCGCGAAGAGCGCGTCACCCACGGCGACAAAAAATGCGATCCCGACTGTCAGAATAGGAATGAGTTTTTTCTTTTTGGAACACGAAATAAAAAGGCATAGTACATTAGTTAGCCTAGAAGGTATAAATAATTGAAATTGTTTAAATATTTCTTAATAAAAAAACTGCTTTTTTTAAATATTATTTTTTAAATATATTTATCTTGAAGAGAAAATATTTTACAAATGTCAAAAAAAACTCTATCTAATTATTGCGAACTAGTCGTGAGTTATCAATTTAAATTTAATTAATTTTAAATCTTAGGTACTAAAAATAATAAAAATGGAGCGGAATTTCGAAAAATAATTAAAAGTGTTTTTTATTTAGTTATTATTTACAGATTTTTTAAATTATCGTCACTTTCCAAAAAATCATTGACACATTTGACGTGGTTTGACTCAAGTGTTTTAAAATTAGGTCAAGGACTCTGTGAAAAGGTTGCTTGCAAATTTTGCACGATTTGACCATCCTGTTGTCTTATTTTGTTTACTTTTCCAATTTGACAATAGAACTGCCAACAAAGAACAAATCATACGGGAGTAGTTTATTTCACCAGGTTCATTGACCGTTACCTCTCGTCTCTAGCGGCCCAAAAATTTAGAGTTACAAGAACTTTATATAATATTTGTTTAAAAATACATACACTGCGCGTCAAAATTAACGCATAATAATGCATAATAAGTAAAAAATTCTTACTCTAAAACGCTTTTACCAATCTTTCTAAAATTTTGGATAAAAATACTTTAACTTATATCTTAGTTTACGTGTTTAAGGGTTTTTCCTTAAAGCCCTTTTATTTAATAATAAAAAACGCTCGAAAACAAACTTTTATAGGGATTTTTTTTTAAGTAAATAAAAAATATACTGTGAAATACCGTATTTTTGTAAGTAAACCCTGAAAATGTTGTACAAATCAAACAAACCGTAACAAAAATACAGCCCTTTAAAGTCTTCAAAAATGACCACTTCTCAGCAAAATAATCAAAAAGGGGTAATTTTTACCGACTTTGAAGCACTGTATCTTTGTTAATGTTCGTTTGATTTGTACAAAATTTTCAGGGTATACTAACAAAAATACGGTCTTTAACAGCATATTTTTTATTTACTTAAAAAAAATTTCCCTAAAAGTTATATTTCAAACGTTTTTTTTATTATTAAATATTTTCTCGAAAAACCCTCGAACACGTAAACTGAGATATAGTATTTTTATACAAAATTTCATTAGAGTTTTTTTTAGTTTAGTTTTTAGAATTTTTTTACTTATTATGCGTTAATTTTGACGCGCAGTGTATTATACGAATTTCGCATATAGAAAAAAGTTTTTTTATAAAATCCCAAAAACAAGACTTGAGGCTTAAGGGGCAGGTCCAATCAGTTTAATACTCAAATTGTTTAATACTGACTATTTTATATAGTTCTTAAATATATTTCGTAGGTAAATTCACCAGCCAACACTAAAAGATTTATATTTGGCGTAGAGTACGATATTTTGCGCAAGGCGGATGGAAGGACGGCAATCTATAAATTCAACTTTAGTAGTAACATACCTAATACTGAGCAAAGTCTACTGTATGCAGCAACAACGTTTGGGCTTGGCATACTCCACGTTTTCCTCGGTAGTGGTGCCGGTAAACCGGATTATGTCCGAGCTGGGAGTTACCGAATCGTTTTCGGAAACGCTACCCAACGGCGAAGTAAGACTGGCAACGTCGGAGCTGTTGTTCCTGATCTGCGAGCGTTGCTTTTTGAGGTCGGCCAAAGTGCCGTTGCCGTTTATGGTGACTACGACGTGAACGGTGACCTTTCCGTTGACGTCAGTGTAGGTGTTCTCCTTGGTGTCCATGATGGAGCTCTCCATCAGCGAGTCGTCGTCTTTGCCCTCGGGCGCCGATCGGTTCTCGATCACCTGGATCGCGTTGCTTTCGGTCGCGATCGGAGATCGCGGCGGCTCGACGATGCCGCTGCTTGTGTTGTTGTAGTTGTTGTTGTTTGTCGCGTAGCTGTTGTGGTTGTACGCGTTCGCATTGTCAACTGTCGGGGACGATCGCGGAATGTCGGCTGTATCCAAACCCTGATGCAAAGCAAATGAAATAATAAAATTTAAAAAAAAATATATAAAAATGTTGTACTAGTACATAAGGGCAACTAAGCTTCCCAAGCAGCATTTTGGTTCCAAAAACCATTACCAAAGTGGTGATAACTTTAAATTAGTTAAGTATACTAAACAGCTACTTAAATTTTTAAATGGTTACTATAAAGTAATAAACATTTAAGTAAAACTTGGTTGCCCCCAAGAAGACTTTGCAACTTTAAAAAAGGTGTTATAAGTAAACTTTCAAGTAAATTTAATTTGTTTGCTACCTAAAGATTTCATTATAATTATTTTTACTTTGTAGTCCCTTTGCAAGTTAAAATCCCGAAACTGGAAAGTTAATAACTTAAAAGGTTATTTTAGTATTTGGAACGTTTATGGTACTAACCAAAACAACCGTAAAGTAAATTAAGGTGGAAAAAAACTTTAAAGTAGCGAAAACTACTTCAAAGGAAAATGCTCCTTACGTGGTAATGTAAATAATAAGATATTTTAATTGTTTGTAAACGGTTGTTTACTTTTTAATAAATAGTAATTTTGTTGGTAATAGACGGTATTAATAATTAAATAAAAAATTAATAATAAATATTAAGATTTTAACATTATTAAATAAATAATTTGTTTATACTTAAAGATTGATGAAGCGCATTTATTTTACAAAAACTAAAGTCATAAGTTCAACAGTAAAATTTAAAGGTTTATAAATTTACCTGCCTAATTAAACATAATTTTGTTATTCTGGAAGTTATAAACTACCAGTACATATTTAATAAACGACGACATTGAAAAGCCAAGTCCGTAGTGGTTCCATTTAAAAAGGAGGGATAGTATAATCTAATATAAGTTTGACAAAGACAGTTAATATAGAAGTAAAAACAAATAAATAAAAGTAATTATAACGCTCTAGCGTTCTAAATAGTAGCAGGGTTTATAGCTAGTGACGTATTTGTTGGGTACCTTTTTGGAACTCAATAATTGTTCCCCACTTTAGTCGTAACTTAGTAATGAAAGAGTAATATAAAGAGACCGGCGACTGTCGCAAGACAAAAGTTTCTTCAATAGTCCCATATACGTAACAAATACTTAAATTGTTGCTTGGGTTGGATTAAGTTTAAACTGCATTTGAACAACGGGGCCTTAGGGACCTAAACATTGTCAACATAAAAAATATATATAATTACTTGAAAAATATTTTTTTCATTAAAATGTTAAATAAAATTTTTTTGACTTGACTTAGAGTATATTAAAAGTTATAATTTATAAGGATCAAGCAATATACATATACAGTGTGTATTAAAACGAATAGATACACTTAAATAAAACAAGTACCAAACCCCGCCCACTGTGGTAGGGATTGAATTTCTTTGCTTGCCGTATCATTGTGAAAGAATGTGATCATGTTCATTAAAATATTTTTGGGTTTATAAATAAAATTTTAAAAAGTGTATTAGGCTGATTCAAAAAATTTACTATTCTTTTTTTTCTTATGATATCGAAAAAGTGGTTGCTGGGCACCACAAATCAAGCCTATCTACGTATGAGCTCTTAAAATTAAGAGTAAGATCCTCCTCATTGCAAGTTTCCATTTTTTCACAAGTCTGATGAAAAACATTTTGTATCTCACTAATAAATGAATATACTTAAAGCTAAGCTACATATTTTAATAGGGAATTAAATGCTCTACAGAAAAGGTATCCCATGGTTTTTTCGTAAACCTAATAAATGAATATACTTAAAGCTAAGCTAAATATTTTAATAGGGAATTAAATGCTCTAGAGGAAAATACAGATACAAAAAATTTATCCTATGTTTTTTTCGTAAACCTATCCATTCAAAAGATATCTTAGGTGAAAGTTTAAAAAATATTTCAAAATTTTATAGAAAAGTTAAGATTTTGAAATGAGTAGTAAATATTTTTGTTGGAAAGCTTTAGATTCATTTGTTAGTGATATAAAAAAAATTTTCAGTCTAATGTAAAAATGGAAAATTGTAATGAGGAGGATCTTACTATTGATATTTAGAGCTTATACGTGGATGAGGTGTCCAGCAACCAGTTTTTCTATATCAGAAGTAAAAAAAAAGAATATGCTGTAAGTATAATTAAGTTGCAATATTTGAGTTTTCATAAAATATCATACATTGTGTAAAGATACTCTTCAAGGTTAATACATATTTTTTTAATTTAAAAATATTTATTTTTCTCGCCATTTTAAATTACATATTGTGTTTAATAACGGGTCCAAACTCGTCAAATAATTTTAAGTTTAAAACATGGTTTGAAATAACAAATTTTACGTAAATATTTTAATTGGGCCATCAAAAAATACAACTCATATTTTATATTATTGTCTTTAATGCAATAAATTTTTGCATTTTTTTATACTTGATATATATGTTATGGCTAATGTGCAAACTTGGATAGTTTATAAACTGTCTGGATAGTTTATAAACTACTAGCCAAACTGTTAGCTAGAGCCAGAGACTTGTCTCTGCTGTTAGCTATTTTAATTAAAAACGCATTTTTAACTCAATTAGCGGATAGTTTGTAAACCAAGGGTCTTGGCTAATTTACTTGAAATTATTTAGAAAAATAAAATAGCTGGATAATTTGAAAACTATCTCATTCAATTTGGCTAATATGAAAACCAAAATTTTTAGTAACACCATTGATTAAGGTAACACAAAATATCCTAGCTTTAGTTTACAAACTAACCAACCAACATTCTGGCTAATTTATTAATAACTGATTTTTTATTGCATTGGCGGGGTTTGTATTTATATATTTTATTTTTTAAAAACACTATTAATTATAATAATTATAATAGAAAAGTAAAATATTTAAAAATAAATATTTAAATATAAATTATATAATTATTATAGTTTAAATGAATTACATACATTTTCCAACTTCTATTGTAAACTTATAATTATAATAAGCCGGACGGCCAATAAATGGACAAGATTAAAATGCAAGTAAACGATTTTAATTCTTCATTAATAAAAAAATAAAATTTAAAAATACATATGGGTCAATCTTACAATAGGGGAAATTTTATGTCCCTGACTTGCCATGCTCAGTCAAGTGCATGTTCACCATTTTTTATTTTATATTTATTTAGGGGTTTATTGACCCTATTCATACACCTATTAACTTAATAATAAAATAAAACCAATTCGATACATTTTCCCTTTAATTACATAAATTGTCATTAGCGTGGATGTAACTGGATATCCTTTCACCAGAATATTTTTTTTTTGCAAATTAAGAAACTGCCCATAAACACGGTGCTGTTCTGAGAGGTGATTTTTGGACTTTCTGTGAAACCTAATTTTTTTTTATATTCTTGTTAATTAGGTCATAACTAAAATTTTAAGAGCAAAATAAAAAACATTTGACGGTTAATTTTGTTTTAATTGGATGGTTATTAAAAATATGTATGCACACTTTCAATTCTCCAATTAAAACTTGTGATTTTATTTAAATATTATCATAACTTTTTAAATCAGATTAAAGATTAGTTAATTTCCTAAAAAAAGGTCTATACATTTTTTATATCTTTTACTGTTTTGTTGTAATACACGTTTAAAGTTTTAATTTAAGGTTAAATGTATAGTATACATTAATTAAACAATAATTCTAAGGGTGCCACATTTTATTTAGGGCCGATTTATTCATTTTTGATTTATTTGACGAATAATTTCTTTGGATACTAGATATTGCCAAGACATGAAAGTTATCGGCCCGATAAACTTTACTAAAGATGAATAAACCGGTCCTTAGTTAAATTTTATGAATTTCTTCGTAACTTTTACTACAATTTTTCATTTTTGTTTATAAAAAACACTTTTAAAAACTAAACAAAAATTATAGAATACGTATACTGAAAATGACAATTCAAAAGTCAAATAAATTTTTAATAGATCTAAGTTTCATGGCAACCTTTAAGGATATATTAATTAAGGGAACATAAATGTATACGTCAAAGGTTAGATTAAAAGTTTGAACGTTTATTGCAACAAAACAGTAAAATATATAAAAAAAATTGTAAAAACCTTTTTTTTAGTTATGCAAATATAAAATATTTAAATTAAATCGCTAGTTTTAATTGGATAATTGAAAGAGTGCATAATATTTTTAATAAACAGCCAATTAAAACAATTCAAACCGTCAAATTTTTTTTATCTTGCTCTTAAAATTTTAGTTATGACCTAATTAACAAGAATATAAAAAAAATTAGGTTTCACAGAAAGTCCAAAAATCAACTCTCAGAACAGCACCGTGATAAATACTCTAGCATTAGTATATTATAGACAACACTTTTTAAGATATGTTAAGCGGGATTGAGACAAAAAAATAAAATTGAATTGAAAAAAAACATTTCTTAAATGTGTCCCTGAGTTTGACATCATTAGCGTGGATTATAATGATACGTATTTAAAATTCCCGCTTACTTTAAATTTTCCAGTTAGCGACCGTTATTATAAACATTTTGGCATACGCTATTTACTTGATTTGGCGCCAAACGCGAACAGTTGCACAGTGAACTATGAAGTGTAAAGTTGTTATGTGTTTCATGGGCGTATGTTTAATGTGCATCATTGGAGTGCTAGTGACAATTTTGTTTATCTAAAAGCAATTAGAAAAATATTGACAATAATTAATGAGCAGTGAGAACTACAAAAGGTATGCATAATTTAAATTAAATTCATTAATCCATTTGCTGTCCAAAGAACCTTAACCTTAATTTAGTCATTGGCGTGGATATTTACTTGCATCATTGGCGTGGACTTTTTTGTCCACGCTAATGACGGACTATCCACGCCAATGATATTTTGTACGAATAATGATAATAAGATATTTTTTATCTAAAATCGGCAGTAAAGTAATCAACAATCGACAGTAAAGTAAAAGAAATCGGCAGTAAAGTAGAACTTGAGTACCGATTTAATACGAGCATTGTATGCAAACCATTACTGCTCCTTAGCAGCAACTAAATAATATTTTAAAAAAGCACCTTCGCGGAGATCAATGGGAACCTTTCATAAAATGTTTAAAAAAATAATAATAAGTTAATTTTATGAATTAAATTAAAAAATCGCCGCGGCGGGCAAATATATCATAACCCAAAGATAATATATAATATAATAATATAATATAATAATATATAATATAATATAAGATAATATATTATCTTTGTCATAACCATCGCAACAAACAGTATACCATGGACACTACATTCAAATGACATTCGATTCAAATTTTAATGCAGAAGGTGTCTACTGTTTAAAAAGGTAAATAATTTATAATTATTAAATGCGATTTCGGATAAAATTTAATATCGTTACCCTAATTCGCAAAAGACGTAAGTCCACTTTTGAAAAACCGGGTTTTAGTGCCATCTCCTGTTCATGAACCTGCAGGTTTAATATCTACATAAACCGGCAAGTAGCATTACATTTACAATGGGTAGCTGCAATTTACAGAGACATGGTATCCAGGTATGTCTCCTTTTTTTTAATTAATATCGAGCACTGAGGTAAATTATTTTTAGGAATAATTGAGGATATAAATGGAGAAAACATAACTATTACCTTTATGGCAAGAAGTGGTAAATATTTTTATTGGCCTGGATCAACTGATCGACAAATCTTTACAGAAGCTGGTATATTATGTAAACATGATTTGCCACCAAAGCCAATTTCAAATAGATTTTTTAAAGTACCAAACTTCGAGGAAATTGATAAAATATGCTTAATTCATTAATTTTTTTTGTAACCAATGTTTACTTATAAATAAATATTAAATATTAAAAATATATTTTGTATCATTATTCAATGAAAACTGTCATTAGCGTGCCTCTTAGTCATTGGCGTGGATATGGATTTTTGAAAAAGCCCCAAAATTAAAAATTGAGCTCAACAGACTCATCATTTCATAAACTTTATTCATTTCTTATAAAACAGTAGTTTTTCAAAATTTTCTGTAACTGTTTTTTTTTTAAATTTCTTATACTCAAGATTGCTCCTATTATAAGAATATCCCATATGGGTATTTTTGTTAAGAGCTACAACGTCTTTTATATCAGAGAAAAGTTGCGTAATTACGAGCCCATTAAAATAAAATTTAAAAATTTAAAAAAACAGCGGTTATTAAAATAATTAAAAATTCTAAAAACTTGTAAAAAGCAAAAATCGTTATAATTTCATTATGTGACATAACGAAAAAGAAAGTAAGTTGTACATTTTTCTATATTTTCATCAAATTTCTTTGCTACTATCATCCCCATCTTTTGTTTGGCTGCCATAACTTATGCAGTATATTTTAATACATCGTTTGATTCCTTGATTTTTTTCTATCTAACCATTTAAAATTGCAATAGGCGGCCAAAATCTGGTAGGCGAAAAAAATCAAAAATTAAATGGAAATGTAGATTTGTGTAACTTACTTTTTTCAAAATACCCAGAAATATCGAAGTTTTAATAGACTTGTAATTACGCATCTTACCATTTAAAATTGCAATAGGCGGCCAAAATCTGGTATGCGAAAAAAATCAAATATTTGTGAAACTTACTTTTTTCAAAATTCCCAGGAATAACGAAGTTTTAATAGACTTGAAATTACGCAACTTTTATCTAATTTAACCGACCTTGTAGCTCTTTAAATAAAAAAGATAGCCATAAATAAAAGGATACTTGGTGCACCTTGTTACAGTACCTAGAGCTCTAAAAAATATACAAAATCTAAAAAAATTAAATAAACAAGTTTTAAGGTTAATGATTAACATGGGATAAAATGTATTTAAAGTTATGCGAAGTTTAATAAAACTGCAGACCACTTGCTGTGATAAGAAACAAATTTAATTTTACTTACTTTTTAAAACAAAATTACTATAAATTGAAAAAAATAGCAATATTTATAATTTAAATGTATACATATGTATATAGTTTAAATTTTGACTAAAAAAATTGCATAAGCAAAACATACCACGGGTTTATTTTACAGTCAAAATATTAATTGAAGATATGATAAAACTGAAGTATTTAAAATTTTCCCTGACATATTTGTAAAGATTGACTTACTTTTATTCATGATTAGTATTTAACAATTAGTATTTAACAATTTTTATAAATTTAGATATTCTTAATTTAATGAGAAGGGTAATATTAAAAAATAAAAATCAAGAGCGCCACGACGCATGCTCAAATGCAATTGGTTATATTACATTACTCATAACCATCACTTAATTAAGACAAACCCAAGTCGAGATCATATAACAATATAATAAATGCACTTACTTACTTTATAAGACAAACAAACGACAGGATATTTATTTTTCCTTCTCATTATATTCTACAGAACTGAAAAGAACTCGACGCCGAGGTGTTCGCACGTAAAAATAAACATATTTCAATCGAAGAGTGAAAAACACGGCAATAAATAATTTCACTCAAAGAATTCGTAACGTATGAAGCAGCAAAGGATACTACTGACTTACAAAAAAATACACCACAATAACGCAATACTTTCTTGATGTATTAATCCCGATGTTCAACGGATGGGAAATAATTAGATTCAGCTGATTTCTACTCAAAAATAATATTTAGAATGCGGCATATAATAATTATGTATGTGTTGTCTAGTGCAACCAATTTACACCCCCAATAAGCAATTGCGATAACAATTTTCAAATATAAGTAAATAAGAACACAGAATTTCTTTATTTGTGTGCATAAATATAATTACATATTAACTTGAATACATGTTCTACAGGGTGTTCGGAAAATATCATAAATTCTATATTAAAAAGAAATTCTCAAAAAAAATATATCAAAATTACACTTAGGATATTTGAAAAAAAATCAGTTTTCCCAACCCTGTATAGAAAGTAACTTCTTCCAAAAAATATGTTGTATATTTGCAAATTAAAGGTTTTTTCATTAAAATTCTCTATCAAAAATGCACCAGCACGAAATATTTGTCATTCGAAAATTAAATTGGAATTTTCAAAAAAATATAATTGTTTAAATTCATTATTAAGACGTTTAGGCTAGGGTTAAATATTTCATGTTATATCTTTAGCATCAAAATAAAAAAATTAAAGTAATTAGTACAATTTAAAAGTTGTTTTAACAACATAATAATTATCAAGAAAATAAATATCTTCTTCTTATTAGGTTTGTAATACTTTTAAGTTACCTCCTTTTTATGCAGTAAGTACAGGTGTTAGCTAAATTACTTAATATTGGCAAAATTACATAATTATTTAACTGTTTTAATGAGCAATTTAAAACAGATATTTAATTAAGTTAAAATAGCGTATCGGTATCGGTATTAATGCATATATGCAACACAATTTACGTTACTGTATTATTAGCAATTATAGAAAGGATTTTATTATATAAAAATGCATTAATTAGAAATAAATCTAATTATTTTTGGTCAATTTGGGTGTGTTTACCTTAGACTGGCCAAAAAAATCGACTATTTTTTTTTGTAAAGTATATCAAAAATATTGTTTAGGGTGACAAAAAAAAATTATGGTGAAAGTTTGAGTCCATAATATTAATATTAAGAGGTCTATCATCGTAATTTTAAATTTTTCTTCCTGAGCGAGTTTTTGTCTCAGAACTCCCAAACCATTGAGTTTAACTAAATTAACTTAAGAATATTTTTTGAAGAAAATTGAATGCTCTACAAAAAAGGTTTAATTGGAATTTCCCGTCAGATGAACCGTTTTCTTACAATCATGCCTTAAAAATTGGCATAGTTTTACAATTTGATTTTTTAACTTTGGAATTTTGTAATTCATGTAAAAATCAGTATCCAGAAAAAACCGATGAATATTCTTATGGGAAATCAAATCCTTTACAAAAAAAGTCTTCTAACATTTTTGGCTAAATTCACTCCATCAAAAGTTATTCATCATTGTAAAGCATTTGATTTTACATAAGAATATTTATCGGTTTTTTATGGGTACTGATTTTTACATGAAGTTCAAAATTCCAAAGTTAAAAGATCAAAATGTAAAACTATACCAATGTTTAGGGCATGATTTTAAGGAAACGGCTCATCTGACGAAAAATTTTATTTAACCTTTTTTGTAGAGCATTTAATTTTCTTAAAAAATATTCCTAAGTCAATTTTGTTAAACTCAATGGTTTGGGAGTTCTGAGACAAAAACTTGAGGATGAGGAAAAAAAAATAAAATTGCTATGATAGACCTCTTAATATTAATATTTTGGACTCAAACTTTCACAATAATTTTTTTTTGTCGCTTCAAACCATATATACTTTTTAAAAAAAAATTGTTGATTTTTTTGGCCCAGTCTAGTTTACCTGTGCATTTTTTAAATACAAAATCATAATTTCACAAAAAAAAATAGAAATTAGTAGGTAATAATATTTAATAAAATATCAATATTTTTCATATTTGAAACACGGTTTTCATGTATCTTTACTTTAAGTCTAAAATATATATGAAAAACTAGTATGGGTATAGTTGACAAAAACATTTTTTTTAAACAACTAAAATTAAATTTTATAGTACAAAAACGTGAATTAAATTTTAGCAAAGCAATAAAAATTGTATTTACCTTTTTGTCGGCGAGCGCCATTCGTAGCCGGTTGGCCTCATTGACGACGTCTTTTTTCGACGACAGTCCTTTTTCTCTTAGCGACGTCCTCCTGACCGACTGCGTTCTGGTGTTGCTTTGCGATCTGCGCACCTTGGCCTTCTTCGCTTCCTGCTGTCGCTTGAGGTCCTGTTCGGTACGCAGCGCAGTTATGCGCTCCTTTATTTCGTTATCTTCGCAAATATCTGTAAAGTATGTCGATATCAGTATACATGTATACTGCAGGTGCTGGCCAATTTATTGGTAACTTACATATTTTGTTAATATCTTTTTAAAAACAATAACACATATTTTTATTATAAAATTCAAATTAAAAAAGTGATGGTAAATGAATATTAATATGTTATAAAGTTCATATTTTTGCAATAAATCTTGGATTAGACAAACATCTAAAAATGTAATCAAAGTTTTATTGCAAAAATAAGTTAAATCCCAAAAAATTGTACTAAGTATGTTGGGTATTTTTTTACCATCACTTTGGGGTCGTCCAATAATCTCGTAACGCTGACGGGTCGTCACTATTTGTCACGGAGGTTTTGTTTATAACGCTCGTGACAAAGTAAATCGAATGAAATTGCTTTTATCTCCACGCGGTCTATAATTTAAACTTTATTGTTGTCAACATTCGATAAAGAAATACCTTGTTATGGCCTAGGCCGATAAAAATTTTTATGAGGCAAGTAATTAGTTCGATTTTTTCTCGCTAGGGGTATTGTTTTGACAAATTAATCCTTTTCTAAGAAATTAACGTACTAAACTGGTTTAATTTATTTATAATAAGCACTAATTTGTTTGTTTTACTGTTATAACATTATAATGTTTAATATTTTTCATTAAATTATTGTAAAATTAAATATGAATAATAAAACAAAAAGTGAGGTTAGGACATTGCAATTTGACGTTTCACAGTTGTGTTTTCTTTTTCTACGATTTAAATTATCTTTAAATTTTAATTTGCTTTAAGTTTTCAGCAAAATTAAATGTTAAACACAGCGTAAACATTCCAAACTACCTATTTTTTTTTATAAAAATGCAAACAAATTGAAATTAAATACCTATTTATTAAACAATTAATTGAATTCAATGTAATAGCAAGAGGGTAAGTAAACCATTTTCTTACAAAAATCCATTTCTACTTAAATCATGTAGCTAGGTATTGTCAAACTATTACTGCTTCTAAAAGGAATAATAATTATTGTACATTTTTTTTTTAATGTAATCTTTAGCTAATAAATAAATGAGATTCAAAAAAGTGAGGTTAGGCCGCTTTTATGTTGAATTAAATTGACCTATATAAAGAGCTTTGAAGATAAAATGTTGTATGCCATTCGGCCAAGAAGTGTCTTTTTGTGCTTCGCTCAATTGTAGGCCTCCGCTACGCGTCGGCCTTCAAACTTTGAGCTTAGCACAAAAAGCCTTACTTCTTAACCTAATGACATAAATAACTATTTCGTTCCATTTTTAGTCAAATTATTACCAAAAAGATTCGGAATTTTTTTTAGCTGGTAGGGGAGTTCGATAATTCGTCATATGGCCCATCGGGGGTCGTAACATTCTGTCACGATGGAGCTCGTCAATTTTGACCACTTATAGCGTCACAAAATTTATGAACGGTCCCTTTTTTAATTTCAATTTTATCTTTAAAATGTGTTTATCCGAAATCAGCAGTAAATTAGTGAACAATCGCCAGTAAAGTAAAAGAAATCGGCAGTAATACGATTATTGTATGCAACCCATTATACATTTTAAGATGTGTCTACTGCTCCTCAGCAGCAACTAAATAATATTTTTAAAAAAGCACCGTTGCGTAGGTCAATTTGACCCTTTCATAAAATGTTGTTTAATAAAAATAATAAGTTAATTTTATTAATTAAATTTAAAAATCGCCGCGGCGGGCCAATATATCATAACCGTCGCAACAAACAGTATACGTAGACACTTCCTACATTCGAATGATATTTGCATGGAGCCTACACAAGGAGCCCGAACTTAATAGGGAAAATTGACAAAACTTGTCCACTAAATTGCACAATTTAAGTCTTTTTTTTTCACCACCAGCGGCGCTGCTTGTTAATGCGTCCGAATGACGTGAAAATAGTATCGAAAATACATGTGAAGTAAGCAAGTAAGTTTTGACAATTGATTTGCAATAATGTTTTGACGTACGAATCGTTTTGTTATTTATGGCTGTACCTGGTAGGTAGATGCTAATGAAAAGGTTTTGGTTGTGAAATATAAGTGATTCTTTATAATCTGTGAAGTGAACCAGGTACATGGGTACATTGTTTTCAGAAAGTGATAAACTGACAGTTGCATAACCTCAATTATTTGCACAATAATAGTGGCGCCATCTCTGGTTATACCCCTCTACTGTTTTGGACCGGTAGTACACCAGCGCCCTCTTATCTTAGGAAGATTCTTATTTACATGAAGTTCGGGCTCCTTGTGTAGGCTCCATGGATATTTGATTTGATCATCAAATGACATTTGATTATATAATTAATATTAATTATTAGTATCATTAAATGTGATTTAGGATTAAAGTCATTTTTTCACGTGGTTATTTGCCTCGGATTTCGTCTCGACAAATAATTTCCACAGTCGTGATAAAACTTTACTACCTTGATACATAAATAACTATTTATGGACTTTCTCATGTCGAGCATAATAACGTTTTAACGTAACAATGTTACATAACCGTATAGGCCATGTTATGCAACATATAGTCCTTCGGAGGGGACTTTAAGCCCGCGGTCCGTTCCTAGCCCTAACCCCTAACCAATTACTTAAAGTAAATGGTCATTTTATAAGAAATTTATACAAAATTTCAAGAGAACATTTTTGTAAAAAATAGCACAAAGGGTGTAACAAGGAGAACACAATTTTCCAAAAAAATGGTTGAGGGTTTTTATTTATTTATTTGCAAGGCCCAATAACAGGATTACGTTTTTATACATATATTTAATTTTTATTTTAATATCCATATAATAAATACCTATAGGTATACCCATATTTCATGTTTCCATCTACGAGGTGTGTTCAGAAAATATCGGGAATTTTCGTTTTTTGAAACAAATATTTATTTATTCGTCTACATTAATGTTGTCGCCTTTAAAATAGTCCCCATCGGATATTATGCACATGTACCAGCTCTTCTTCCAATACTCAAAACACTTCTAAAACTCGATCTTTAGGATAGCCTGTAGTTCTTTCAGCGATGCGCTTTTAATGTCATCTATGCTTGCAAAACGACGGCCTTTTAAGGTTCTCTTTATTTTTGGGAATAGGAAAGTCAGACAGAGGCAGGTCTGGCGAATATGGAGGCAATACAATACTGTAATGATGGCCCATTACAGTATTGTTTTTGGCCAAAAATTTTGTTCAAAATTTAACAATTTTAGAACAATTTTTTGAGCCAATCGATATACCAACATCATCAGCGACTTCTCTTATGGTTTATAACCATTTCTTCCACTTTTTCCATGTTTTTATCGGTTGTTAATGTGCTTGTGCGTTCGGGGCGTTCTTCATCTTCAACGTCTTCACGGCCATCTTGGAAACTATTATAACTCTTGTTTTACTTATAGCAGACTCACTATAGGCCTTTGTTAACATTTCACAGAATTTATTTCATTTTTTAAGCAAAATTGGATACAAATTCTTTGATCCATTTCTTTTAACGAACGAAAAATCGCCAAGCTCATAAAACACGTCTGGCTGCCACAGACAAAGTAAACAATGAGAACAGCTAAGAAAATTTTATGACAACCGGACCCTCCGAACCCGCGAAATTTAACAATTCCCGTTATTTTCTGAACACACCTTGTATGTTAGAGTTTTTATTATCTTCTAATAACTTTGACTTTATTTATTTAAGCAACAGAACCTTGGAAAGGTAAATAAGTTCGCGTCTGTGAGGCAACGGTTCGTAAGTTATTAAAAAAAATGTTTGGTGTTTTTTTCAAGTTTTTATTAAAAAAATAAAATTCCAACCGGTATTTAAGTATTGGGTTATAAAATCTTACACTCTTACTGGCCTATTGAATAATTACTACAAAATTCGACTAATTTGTCGAATACAAGACCCTTAAAAATACCTTGGTTTTTCTCAGTTCCTCAGTACATCGTCAATATACCAAGGGTATATTAACTGTGTACTAGGGAACTGAGGAAAACCAAGGTATTTTTATATTAACTAGCAAGGGAAAGGTAAAATGATGATGAAATTAAAATATTTATTGTGAATATTAATATTCACAATAAATATTACAATATTACAATATTTACCTGATGGCGTTTCGTCGTGTTTGTTTTTTGCGTTAAGATTAGCTCCTGCTTGGGCCAACAGTTCAATTACTTCTAACTGTAAGAAAAATTATTGTCTTGTATAAAAAAAATAATTTTAAGATTTATAAATAAAATTTTCATATGTATTAAAAAGCTCAAATTAAAACAGAATTAGTAAAAACAGCCACAAAATAAAAAGAAAACAAGTACTTAGGAGTATGATTTTAAATTAAAGGTTTATCACGTTTTTTAATACTTCATGTGGATTCAGAAATTCGCAAGTTTTTTTTATGGATTTTATGAAAAGATATGTATGTTGATTGATTAAATTGTAACAATCTTAAAGTTATGATATGTCTTTGAGCTTTTTATAGCATCTTTTTGTTGCCAGTTGGACAGGATTTTATCAATTTGTATTTATTTAATATTTTAATTTGGATGGCATCAGGATTAATGATAATTATTTGTTTAGCTTTCTTACATATAAAATGTATAATAATCGCGCAAAAGCTTCGATTGTTTTTTAATTAATTAAATAAAAATAGTTCCAATTCAATTAAATTTAAACCTACATGTCCCCAACAAGCAGCAGCATGGGAAGGTTGCCAGTCATCTTTGTCCTTTAAGTCAGTAGGAACTCCGTGATCCAAAAGAAACTCAACCACTGATATGTATCCATTTGCAGCAGCTATGTGTAACTGAAAAAATAATAAAAAAAGTGTTAACTGAAAAACTACAAAATATTAAATGCAATTAATAAAAGTTTCATTACAATCAGAATAAATTAATTTCGATGATTTTAATATTTGCAAAATTTTGTAAATTTAACAAATATTGAAAATTTTGGCGTAAATGTCTTTACGCGTAACTTCCGTTGCCTGCTAAAATTGAACTCTCAACGCGACAAAAATCAAAACTTGAATTTCTTTTTATAACGGACAAAGGGGCCGCCCATAAGGTACTGTCGCAAGTTGTCACAAAGTCTCCACCCACCTCCCCCAAAGTCACACGTCACGATTATTTTTTTAATTTCCTGCTTTTTATAAATCTCATTAATTTTATTCAACAATTTTTTTATGGGTACTGACCCAGTAGATTGATATTTTGACATCGCAGCATTGGCAACACTGTATTGAAGTGAAGTGTGCCAGAAGTGAACCAAAATGTCAACTTCAGTTTGTTTGTATTTTTGCTTGGAAAGGAATAGGGTCGAAAATTAGTGTGAAACTACTATATTCTATAAATTTGTCACTAATAACCATAGCGTTAAAAAAAAACGATTTTTTCTTAAAAATTTAAAAAATAGATAAATTTTCTCGGTATTCTAACGTGACGATATTATAATATAAATAGCACAGACTGTAATAAATAGTATCTACATATACATAGATATAATAGGCGTGCCAATTGACTTAAGTTTTATAAATGAAGTTGGGCGATTCCATGATTACTGACGAAACAAACAAAAACAAGACAAAATGTTTTATGAAGATGTGTTTTTTATATAATAATAATTTTATAATAGTAATTATTACTTAATTTCATTGCTAAGAACTGGCATAAAATTATTATTATTATAGGAACAACACATCTTCAAAAATGTTCATAAAACATTTTGGTTTTTTTTGCTTGTCAGTAATCATGGAATAGCCCAGTTATACTTCATTCAAAAATAAAAATACGAACATAACCAAATTCTCTGACAGATAATTCAAATTATAATATATTAATAGTTTTACTTGTTACAAAACCATTAACAGGGTATTTTAGTATAAAGTTTAACCAATTATTTTTATAATTTAATGTTCGCGCCTCTAGTATGTACTTATCCTCGATTTTCAAACGATTTAAATATTGAACATAACCTCAAAACCATGCTAAAAAGAGATTTTTTCGTAATTCTTGACAAATTTGTTATAACATCGTGACGTCACGATCTCTCTTCAAGCTCATCGAAGCGTTTTGAATCTTTAGGTTTTCAAAACGCTGTAGCCTTTTTAAAAATTGTTTGAGAAGCGTACGAAAACAAATTTAATAACAAACTCGTGTGCGTAGATTCCAAATATGCAATAAAAAATGTCCCCACCCCATTAAAGACGTCAGTTTTAATATTAAAATACAATGGTGGTTTGTTGCATTTGGTTGTAAAAATTATATAAGTTTTAGTGACAAGAAAGAGCCTGGAATAGCTAAATAGATAAAAATCTATATTATTAATGTTTAAGGTTATAATTTAAAATTAATATATTTATTACCCATAAATATATTAATTTTAATCAGTAAGTATTTGTTAAACCAGTTCCTAAATAAACAAATACATATGCGATCTATCATTCAGAATGATCTCATTTATAATTAAATTATACGTCAAACTGTTGACAATGTTATATTTCTTCCAGTGGCGTGTATACACGTATTTATGCGATGCACTACTGGTTTTGAAGTTAATGGGTTTGAGGTTAGTTCATCGACGCCATTTTTTGGTTCACATTTCCACCCCCCACAAAAACGGTAGGGAGGAACCCTAAACGTGTGACATATTTTATGGACACCCCAAAAGTGGCTTATCTAAATTTAAAAGGAAACCACTGACAATAACATATACAATTTACATTAAATAAAAAAATATTTAATTTAAAAAAGGTTAACTAACAACTTAAAACAATAGTGACATTTGTTAAGAAAACTCCTTAACCTCAACGAACTTTAAAAAAAATAATTCAAAAAGAATGATTTTAAGAAAATATTTCTTTTATTAATTTTCTTTTTTAAATACCATTAAACATTCTTAAAAAGCTTATGAAAAAATGTTGCTGACTTACCGGCGTAGCACCTTGATTGTCGTGCGCCTCAAGGTCACCGCCGGCATTGTAGAGCTCCTTCATGTCGATCAGCATCTTTTTCTCGGTGGCTGCTCTTGTTTCGTCGATCAGTTCCTGCGTGACGCCTCTTTTCGCCATTTCGCCTTCGATGTAGTCGAGCGCCGTCTCGTCCTCGCAAATGTCGTAAGGCATGTTGCCGTCCGCGTTCACCGCCAAAAGGTTGGCACCTCTTGTTATCAAAATTCTACAAAAAAATGCATTTTGAAGGTATATTGGTTTCAATGGGGTAGTTAAATTTTTTCTGACCTATACTTTTTATGGTTTTATTCAAGGCGTTTTGTAATTTTAAACATTTCTGTGAAATCGGAATTTCAATTGAGTTTACCGTTTTCGAGATATTTACAAAAAAAATCTCCTAATTACGTCACTAGGCTATTGACAACGTTGCCAGCTTTTTCTATGGTTGCCAGTGTCTTTAGTTTAAGATTCTTACGATAGATGGCGCCACGTATAATATTTTAGTTTTAAAACCACTTGATCTATAATTTTAGTTGAGAAGAAGAAGAAGAACAGATTTTTTGACGTTCCTTTTTTTCGGGTTATGTTTTTTTTTAAATTTAGATTATTGAAAATCAATGTTATTGTTATGTTATTTGTAATTGATATTGGATAAGTGATTTATTAATAACGGACTCAAAAGCAGAGGAATCTTGTGGAATGGTTGGTTACATTGAACATTGGAGCTTTTGAACAAATAAAGTAAGTACCTATAATTATAATCATATTTTGTCGTAAATGCATTTCATTAGTATAATGCCTAGTTCTTTATATTCTTTTAGATATATCTTGGACTCTAAAATATCAAACAGTAATATGATACCTCGTAATAAGGAAGATAGGTACTTAATGAATTTGGTGACAATCTTTCACTCAACTGACAGTGACAGTATTTGTACATAACCTCTTCGGGTATTTTCTGACATAACCGAATGAAATCATTAACAAGACAACTTGACAACAGGGTAATTTTCAACCAATAGAAATCTTAGAATGTTGGTCACATGGCGAGGTTTGTGACGTCATAAAAATTTATATTTTTTGTAAATATCTCGAAAACGGTAAACTCAATTGAAATTCTGATTTCACAGAAATGTTTAATATTACAAGACGCCTTGAATAAAACCATAAAAAGTATAGGTCAGAAAAAATTTAACTACCCCATTCAGTATCAGTTATGGCCAAAAATGATGGTTTTTGCTGCAGTATAAATAATTTTGTACCTACATTGCATTCCAAAAATAAAGTGATTTCCTAAAAAATGGAAATCTCTTATTTAATATAATTCATCTTTTGTTTAATATTATCAGGGCCGGCTCCAGGGTACGTGCAGCCGTGCCCCTGCACGGGGTGGCAAAAATCGAAGGGCGGCAAAAATGAAAAAGCTGCACAAATCGAATATCGGCAAAAATCGAAAGGCGGCAAAAAGTTATTGAATACAAAACAATATAGGTTCTAAATTAGATATATCCAATTTAATTTCAACGTTTGCTGAACAAAAAGCCAGAAGCATTCCTTTTCTTAAACTTTTGTTTGTAAACAGATTGTTCTTATTTTTACTACTAGTAAGTTTAATAATGTTAAATAAAATAATTATTATTAGATTGTTCTTATTTTTACTACTAGTCAGTTTAATAATGTTAAATAAAATAATTATTATTAGAATAGGTATATTACTGTTTTTTTAAGAATGCGATGATATTTTATTTGTTATTAAATAATATTTTTTTAAACTTTCTTGTTAATTTTATCTTCCCATTAATGCTACATCTGTTCTACTAAATACATACCAATTTTAGAATATTTTATTTATAGGTAAATGTGTTTTTTCCAGATATCTAATTGTAGCATCAAGGGGACGATATTATTTAGTTAGTTTTTTTTTTTAGAAATTATATCTTATTAATGGGCACTAAAAAGTAGGTAACTATGAGGGGCGGTAAAAATATTTTTGCACAGGGTACCAAAATGTCTGGAACCGGGCCTGAATATTATTTTTCTTACAAGGCTAGAAAAAAAGTAGGCTTTAGTCGCTATGAGAAAGTGTTAAAATAATTCCAGGTTGTAGTAGGGTCTAGACATTTACAAACTTTTAGAAAGATTGACCGTCTGGTTTCCGAGTAAAAATGTATTAAAGTTGCTAAGACTGCATGGGCTGTTATCGTTTATTATGGCTAAACTGTGTTGTGAATGTTAACAAAAATTTATATTTATATTTGTTTTATACATCTCCTATATAGACCTTGTCCTTGATTAATGCATATCTCATAACGTCACATTGAAAAATTAATGATTTTTTTCTCGTATGCACTTATGCCTGTAGAAGTGTCATAATTTTTTGTTAATTTTTACCGCACAGTTCTGCAATAATAAACGATAATGTTGACTGTGTCCAATAAAAATTATCAATCTGTCATTCTTGTATATTACATATCAGAGCCTAGGGCCAATACCTGTGCAGGTAAATCACGGTACCTATCACCCGAAGTCTTACAGAAACAGAATCAGCAAAGATAATACAGTAGCGCAGTGCAACACAACCTCCTAACAAGTGAAGAATGTACGGAACCCGTACACTACCTGGGCAGGTGAATTCAATGTACCAATCTCCCGTAGGGCCCAAAGAGAGGGTCAACTGGTTAGCAGGAAGAAAAGATAGCTTTAATACTCATGATTTAAATTGCATTCCCTACTAAGGAGGTAATCTTGCATTTCTGCCATCCCTTTCGAAGAGGTTAAGCATCTTCAACGCATATAAACCAGGAAAACAAAACAGTCAAGCAAGAAATGTAGACTTCCCTCAGCATGTAATGTTCGTAAAAATCGGTACAAAATCAATCTAGCCCAAACTAAACAATCAGTCGCCGGAAACGCAATAACAAAAACAATGAGTTCAGTCACTTAAAAAATAATAAACACGCCAACATCACTACAAATATATTTACTAAAGTAATGCTGGTGTTAACGCACAGTGGGACAAATAATGTTTATACCTACTTCCTTTACAGTCTTCACACTTCAGTAATAAACATTAAGAAAAGCATCGAAAACCACAAAAACCATCGATATCTATCGGTAGTCACATTGCCGGCTACCAAAAGCTGCCTATCGATAGTTCTCGACCCTAGACTGATGAAATGGTTTCGCACAGTGGGGCAAACAATTTGCGCGCAGCATCTGAACTTGCGGTAGAGTAATATTCAGCAGGCACGGATAGGTCCTAGCTACGTACTAATTACCCAAGCCCCATTCATGAACCCCAATTGAATGGGGTTATTACTAAATACCTAGTTGAAGGGGACTCTGGATTGTACTTAGTTTTGGGTCAGTTCAATGTCCCGCAAAAACCAAAATGTTCCACACTCCACTAGCCTAAATCGGGCGTATGGCCCGGCCCGGCGACAAAATTCCGGGAGTGGCCTGTCATCCACGACCTCCTAGGGAAGAATTACCTGCCGGGGTGAAAATTCGAATTCACCAAACACAGATAACGCTGTGCAGTGGCGGGATACGTAGAAGAACCGAAAGGGCCTGCCATACGTTCTTATACTCTTACTTGTACCTTTTTTTTTAATATTTTTTTCTTTTTAGTTGGACTTTATTCGGTTTTCAACTCATTTTTAGATTTTATATAACACTGAAAATACAACTGTCACTGCCAATGTCAAATGGACTACCAATGGTAACTGTTGATAGTTGGTTTCTATGGTAACTTACTATGTATAATGTAAAAAAATGACAAAATAAATTTTGTTTTCGCAAGTTGGTACCTATCGCTCTTTATATATTAAGTATTTATACAACTACCCTTACCCCGCAATGTACTGCCCCAAACACCTTGCACCCTACATGCCCCGCAGTGCAAGTTGGCGAGGCTAGACGCATGTGCGCGTAGCCCTTGCTACTTGTATACTGCCTACCAGCGGCGTTGAAGATTAAGATTAAATTTTGAAGAGTAAAATAAACAAAATAATTTTAAATTATTACAAAAATATATTTAGGTTAAATAATAATAATAATAACACGACTTTATTTCACATAAAAAGTATTACATCAAAAAGGCGAAGCTTGATCATGGACCATTCTTCCTCTTTACTCTATATTGTAGATACTTTTTATTTAATAAAACAATCTTTGGTCCAATGACTTAAATAATAATTAATTAATATTCTTCTAAAAAAGTGTCATCATCGCTACTATCATCTGAATCTAAATTAAGTAAAAATGGTTTTACATGATCATCCAATCCTATTTCCTGTCAGTATATTTATCTTCATAAATATTGCGTGGTGACATCTTTAGATTATACTACTTTGCTACCTTCACTTTTTTAATTTAATATATTTTTTAAAATAGTTTATCAATAATTTGGCGATAGGATTAAATTTGGAAACACGTTCTATGAAAAAAAAAATTGAACAAAATTTGTATATATTATAGTATAATATTTTTGGAAATATTATTATTAAATATTAAATACGCGCCACTGCATTGCCAAACAGGTGTTAAACTTTACTTGAAGGGCGGTACCATTACCAAATTACGTCAATTGCGCATAAGGCGTTCTCGCCAAGTTACAGGGCGGACACTGTACATAAGTTCCCGTTTCGGTTATAAATATTCGGTTACGGTTTCGGCTAAAAATCGTGTTTTGGTCGGACACTAGTTTTAATTTACTAAAATGCAAAACTTAAAAAAACAATTAAAAATAATGCCTAACTTGAAAAGTGTATGTATAAACCCTAAATAGGTAATATATAAGTCCTTAAATCAGGGATGTTACGAATCTCATTTTTTCTGAAATCTGCAGATGCGATTTCAATATCTGCAAATGCGGATGCGAATGCAGATATTGTATTCAGAGAGGGTAGATTTTTTTATTTATATCCATTAAATAATACAAAAAGCTTAATTTTAAAAGTATGATAAAGGGAACTACTGAATAAAAAGCAACAAATATAAAAAGTCGCTTTTATTATAGAAAAATTAAAACTTAATTGCCTTTTCTATTATAAATTTAATTTAATGATAGAAAAATGCAGATTCGCGACTGCGGATTCGGATGCATACATCTGTAACACCACTGCCTTAAATCGCCGTTGAAAATAAGTAAAGGCGTATCAATTTGTTTGTGCTTTATTTTTAAACATGTCACTTACTTGACTAATCTAATATGCGCACAGGTGGCAGCAGCGTGTAGTGGCGTCCATTTTTCCGTGTCTTCCGCATTGACATTGGCCCCGTGATCCAACAATAACATCAACATGGGTTCGTTGTCGTCTATGCAGCTCTGGTGAAGGGCAGTAAGGCCATCTTCGTTGCACGAGTCAGGACTTACGCCTTTTGATAGCAGTCTTTTTACTAAAAATTTAAACAGTTAATCCTCAAGTACCTATCTACTATTACAGTATTTCATCGTTTATTTACTATTTAAATATACTTTTTTACTTTGGCACATTTGATTAGGTTGGTACTTTTACTCTTAATGTGTAAACAGCTATGGCTCTGCACTACGAGTTTCCGTGCGAAAATTGATATTAGTAAGAGTGGGGACGAGTGAGTGTGACGCATGAGGTGACCAATGAAATTCGAGTGTGTTCGCGTCGTAAGAAATAAGTGGCTGTGTATAAGTAAGGGTGTCCCAAAGTATAAGCAAGATAAGAATAAAAAACGATAGCCAATCCCAATACATGGCCATAGGGAATTATTTAAATTGCTAGGATACTGGAATCCACTTCATTGTGACACTTGATTTTTGTTCCTATCATTATTTATCATTTTAAGTTATGTTTTTATCCTCTGATTGTGCCGAAATGATGATTATTTATGGGGAGTATGGGCACAATGCTAGGGACAAGTTTTTTCCCAGCGCTTTCCCAAACGTCCCCTGGACCGTAAAGTTCTTCTGCTTTGTAAAGAAATTGAAGGTGCTCCCCTAGTGTGGTCTAGGGGTGCTCCTTAACCTATTAGAACAGCGGAAAATAAAGAAGCTATTTTCAATGCCTTTGATGCAAATAGTAGGAAGAGCATAAGGGAAGTTGCACACGAATTTCCCGTCCACAGTTCAGCTGCTTATGAAGGACGTTCATTTTACGCGAGTGTAGAAACCTGCAGATGGAAGATAATCCTGCTAGAATGGAATTCTGTAGTGGTTGCTAGAGATTTTGGCTCTGGGGTACAAAATAGAGGTGATAAACTATCGATGTAACCCACTATCGAACTATCGATAGTCTGGGAAGAGAAAATATCGATACATCGGTAGCACTATCGATGGTCACTTAATTTTTAAAATTTTGGTTTTTGCTTTTGCACTAAAATAAAATTGACATAAATGTTTGAAAAACGTTTTTTTTTTAAATTTCTACTTGCAATGCAACCATACATAATATATAAATATAATACATAATACATACATAACGTAAACAAGTATTGAAATGATAATACAGTCTTGGTTATTGTATTTAGATTTATAATTAGCTTTTGTTGTCTGTGCCTATTACAGATAACAAAAACAAATTATAAATCTAAATCCAATAGCTAATAATTTTGTTTAATAAATATTAATTTATTGACATTTTTTTATTTTAATTTTGATCCTCGATCCGATATGAGTTCCTTAGAGAAAATTCTCTCAGATGGCACCGATTGTTTTTATTGTAATGTAAAGACAATTTGACAGTATCAAATTGTTAAAGTAAGTGTGCAAAATATACTATTGGACTGTCCCCGGTATACAGATGAAAGACTGGCTGCAAATCTAGCGAACAATGTAATGTCGGAATCTTTTTCAATTTGTCAAAAACTGTGACCTCACAAACAAAATCTAAACCTAATTCATGCGTGACTAAAACTACTGAACGTGATTATTGTGACTTTTGTGTCTATTTTTGACCAGTGTCATCGCTAATATGGCATTGTACTACCGATATTTTTGTTATATTATCTATGCTTCGGCAGTTCGATATATCGATAATAACTTTCGATAGTTTAACACCTCCACAGAACTAGTTGTTTTACTTCAAAACATTGGCGTCCTGAAGTATGGCATTCCCTTTTGAAAGGTTAGTAAACACTGTCGGACAAAATACTTTTAAAAGTTTTAAGAAAACAATGTTCTATTGTCTCCTATCCGCTTTTTTGCTCTCATTTTATTACACTATAACCTAGAAATTTTTAATTTTTAAATTTGGCATCTCCATTGCACGCCCCCTTTTTCTCTGTGGCGCGAGATCTGGGACACCCTGTATAAAAATAAATCAATCCAATGGCGGCCGCCGAGGCGCGCCGTAAGATGGTTTGCCTATTTCTTTACAACCTTCCTAAAAGGGTATGGTGCGTAGAGAACAATAAGGCGGGTGTTTTTTTTTTAATTTCCAAAATTTCTAAAATTATCAAAATTACAAAATTTTTAAAATTTTATAAATTACACTAGTTTACAAAATTGAAAAAAAATTCTGCCCACCATATCCCATTATAATTTTTCCATGTATTTTGACCCACTAAACACGAAAATCACACTACATTTTTTTTTATGGAAGCGTTTTTGAAATATGAATTTTCATTTGTCTTTTTTTTTCAATTTTTGGACGTGTTTTTATGGCAAAAATTGTGGTCGAAAATTTACATATCGTCCTGGAAAAGGTTTAAATCAAACAGATAACTCCAGTTTGAATTTTTTTTCGCCAAGCTGACATTTTTACAAAAAAAAACAAGCTAATGTTGATAAAAATACATGGAAAAATTGCGAAGTTATGAATTTTTTAGTGGAAGACCATAATTCAGCTTTTTGACGATTTTTATTTTATTTTTTTTCTTTTATTTTGTAATATGTTTATTCTTTAATGAAAACCTAATTTAAGTGCATAAATGGAATTTTATAGTTTTTTACGTACTTTTTTCACCGAAAACATTATTCAAAATTTAAATTTGACTTGACTCTGCAAACGTGAATTCTTTTATATCTCGTGTTGGCATAGTGACATTTTACTGCTATTTTTTGATAATTTATTTAGTTAATAAAAAGTGTAAAATGAGTAAAAAGAAGTAGAGAGTGCGTAAATATCCCAAACAATCTGGGCTACATAAGTGATGAGCACGGAGAACGTTTTCACCAGCAAATGAAGGCTATGGAGCGGCAGTAACAGCCATGATGGCTGATTACATTTGGCCCCTCATACGAGAAACGGAATAGAAAAGCAACCAAAACAAAGAAGGGGCCAGAATTTTTTTAAACCTATGCTTATTACAACAAAATAAAACTTTCAATATCTTCAGTATTGTTCAATACTTATTCAATATATAATTTAATTTCAATATTTAATGTTTAAAATAAAAATCAATGTACCATATTAAATTTTATATAATTCAATAAAATGAAGAAAATACGTAAAAATCTCGAAAACCTGAATTTTGGTCTTTCACTGAAATATTCATAACTTCGCCATTTATCCATGGATTTTTATCAACAGCAGCTTATTTTTTTTCCTTTAAGTATAATCTATACGTAAAATAAATCAAACTGGACTTATATTTTTGATTTCTATCTTTCCCAGAAAGATATGTAAATTTTCGACCTCGATTTTTGTAAAACAAAAGGATTTTTTTAACTTTATAAAATCGCCAATATCGAACTACTGAGCCGATACCAAAACTATACCAGAGAGAGTTATAGAGGGCTCAATTACCTTTGATTTAAGTGCTTGTTTGGTCAAATCCATCATAGAACTCGAAGTATACTATTAGGGTTGGGAAAATTTCACTTTTTGCTTGTACTGGAAATTTCACTTGAAATTTTCATGACATTTATGAAATTTATTAAAATTTCCTAATTTCTGAAATTTCATGAAATTTATTGAAACTTTCAATAAATTTCAATCACTTTAAGTGTAATATATTAATATTGAAATAAGCCCACTCAGGGACCATGGCAAATTGATTCTCTTACCTCCTACCCCTCTGTGGGCCCCTGCACCAATAATATAAATAGTAAATACCTATGTTTACCACAAATTTCTTGAGATTTCCTTTTAAAATTTTTAAAATTACTAAAACTAAAAGAGATATATCACTTTTTGGTAAGCTAATGAGATTGTGCCACTTTCATTGTTTTACATTTATATATATATATTTAATTTCTTGAGATTTCCTTTTAAAATTTTTAAAATTACTAAAACTAAAAGAGATATATCACTTTTTGGTAAGCTAATGAGATTGTGCCACTTTCATTGTTTTACATTTATGTATATATTTATTATTTTTAAATATTTTACTGAAATTTTACGAAAATTGAAGAAACTTCAACAAAATTTTATGAGCCAAAGGCATTTTTTATCCGTTTTCCGATGCAATTATAGCAAAAGTAAAAGTTTAAATTAATCATGACTTTTAAAAAAAATTTATTTACAAATTAAATTGGTAACTGAATTAAATTATTTAAATTAAGTTATGCATATAAGTAACAATAATTACTTATAGTGTATTCAAATCAAAGCCGAACTAACAAAAAACGCCCAGACGCTTGATAACTCGTTCTTATTGGTCGATTCGGAATCTGTTGTAAATTATTATTAAAGGTCCCAGGGGAGGCCGCATGTGAAATTTATGCGAAATTTTCAGTAAATTGCGAAACTTTCAATGAAATTTCTGAAACTTTCACAGGCAATGTTGAAATTTACGGATTGAAAATTTCATTTGAAATTTTTAAAAATTTCACTTTTCCAACTAAATGAAATATTTTAAGTTTGAAACTTTCAAAGTTGAAATTTTCATTTCAAAATTTCAACTATCCCAACTCTATATACTATACTATACTTTATACCAAAACACCCCAGAAAATTAAAAAAAAAACAATTGAAAATTCATATCTCGAAAAAGATTCCATGAAATTTTTTTTTGATTTTCGCGTTTAGTGAGCCAAACTACACAAGAAAATCATAGTGAGACATGGTGGGCAAAGTGGCTGTAAACTAGTGTTACTTATAAAAACTTACAAAATTGTCAAAATATCCAAAATTACCAAAAATTTTAAAACTTTAAACATAAAAACACATGTTTGTTAAAAACTGCAGTTTACCTTCTTCTAGATCATTTCTGGCAGCAGCTTCTAAAAGCACGACGCTGTCGTTAAAGTAGATGTTTCGCTTGGTGCTTTTGTGATGCTTGGCCGTTTTTCTGCTGTGTTCCTTGTCTTTTTGCTGATAAAGCTTTAGCTGCTGCTTGCGCCGCTGCTTGGCCAAGATGAGCCGATCCTGCGTGGGCATCTGCTCCACGTCGGGCATCTCGCGAATGAGCTCGGCGTGATCCATCGCGAGCGACCGATTTCTATTATCCGTGCGATTCGAAAACAGAAAATAAGTCTATTGACCTAAAACAAAAAAAAACATGTAAAATAGTAAAATGCAAACTCTTTTGGCAAAACTTTTTTTTTGCATTTTCTCTTTTTTTATTTAAGATTTAAAAACATTCTGAGACAATTATTTTAAAAACAAAATATTTTATGTGTGTATTTTTAAATTTAATAAATTTGTAGTTTGCCTAATATGTTCAGTTTCAAAAAATAATTTAACAATTTTTGATTGATTTTAAAATAAAAGGAAACCACCGTTATGAATTTTAATAATTTAGGTTTTTCAGTTATCTTATCTTTCTATTTTAACCAAAAACTATTAATTTATAAAAAAAACAATTTTTGTTAATATGCAGAAAAAATTACGGCATCGAATTTTTTATCGTTTTTTTTTTCGTTTACTACAATATTTCCATTTGATATCTTGTAAAGAAAATATATTACATATTATATAACATATAGTCATTTAACAGTAACAGTATAATTTAATTAAAGTTAACAATCCATTTGGGTCAACTTAAATTACATCATAATCTCTTAAACGTTGTATTGAAAATCATTGGCAAAACTCAAAATTCTGTTCCTTTTCCCAGTAACTTTTTTTGCATTTAACATTTTTAAGTTTATGTAATGGTGGTCATCAATAGTATTTTTGTAATTTTTTTTAAGGCTATTCTCAATTTAACATTTTGACAACAAATAAAGTCTAAAATTTGTAGGTATTAAAATGTCCCGGGATTTTATAGTGCTACGAACAAGTGGCAATTAGCATCAGTGAAGAATGCAAATGAGGTAATTAGTTGTCCATTGTTTAAAAGGATCAGACTCATGCTTTTGGGGCATTTCACGCCAAGCGGGCAACTTTAAAAGCAAAGTTGTTTAAATTTGTTCATATTTGGGTATGCTGTACCCCTAGGGGGTCTTAGCATTGACATAAAACTATTTGACCCTGCGAAGCCTAGGGACCCTGCTAGGGGCTTTTACATTTTCGTCAAAACGTTGTGCATGGTGTATTTTAAAGGGGTCTAGCTTCTTGAAAAATTATCGTAGAAAAAAAATAAAAAATCACATTTGTAGGTAATTGTATGCTCTTTTTCGTTATGCACTCAAATTAAAAATTCCAATTTGTTAAAAATAAAAAAATTTGTTTTAAAAAATTAAAATTATATATTTTTTAATTTCGGCCAGTTTTTGTTTTTTTTTTAATTGCTTAAAAATTCTCTCAAAATGTATAGATGAGGCATACAAAATTTTGTAATGGGATGAGCACTCGTTTAAATGCTGGAGGACTTGAAGTAAACCCTCCTCAAACCTAGTGGCGCGCCGCGGCGTTAGGTCCTAGCGCGTGATACACTGTTTAGTCGATCGCGATTTTGAAAAACTTGTTAAATAAAATTTAATTATTGTGCATGGTGTATTTTAAAGGGGTCTAGCTTCTTGAAAAATTATCGTAGAAAAAAAATAAAAAATCACATTTGTAGGTAATTGTATGCTCTTTTTCGTTATGCACTCAAATTAAAAATTCCAATTTGTTAAAAATAAAAAAAATTGTTTTAAAAAATTAAAATTATATTTTTTTTAATTTCGGCCAGTTTTTGTTTTTTTTTAATTGCTTAAAAATTCTCTCAAAATGTATAGATGAGGCATACAAAATTTTGTAATGGGATGAGCACTCGTTTAAATGCTAGAGGACTTGAAGTAAACCCTCCTCAAACCTAGTGGCGCGCCGCGGCGTTAGGTCCTAGCGCGTGATACACTGTTTAGTCGATCGCGCTTTTGAAAAACTTGTTAAATAAAATTTAATTATTGTGCACAACTACATCGATATTGTTTAACTTGATTTTATTGTCCTTTTTAATATTTTTTTACTGAAACAAAAAATATAGGCATTTAAACATGCAGCATTGCATTACAATAAATTTAGTAGGTACTTACGAACCCACAAATTTTCTAAACATTGTGGTTATATATAATTATGTTGACAATGCTTTTTATTACGATTTAAAAGTGATTATTTGAAAATAATAATAAACCAATATTTAAAAATAAGAAATTTAAATATAAATAAATTTTGGAGCAACTTAAACAAAAATTTAATAATCCTTCTATACCAGGGCCAATAAAGACTATGATTCTAACTATTGCTCCAAAATCGTGGAACAGGCTTGCAAAAGAGTTTGGAACATCCAGAAGGCAGGCAAAAAATGCAAAAGAGTTGGTGAAAAAATACGGCATAATGTCTACGCACAATCCTCGTGAAGGACGAAAGATGGAGCCTAAAACTGAGACACTGGTAAAAGACTTTTATCTTAGAGAAGATAACAGCCGGGTAATGCCTGGTAAAAAAGATTTTGTATCCATTAAAAAGGACGATTGAAAAAGGGAACATTTGCAAAAACAATTAATTCTTTGTAATGTAAAAGAACTTTATGAAACTTTTAAACAGGAATATTCATATGTGAAGGTGGGAATTACAAAGTTTTTTACCTTTCGGCCTAAGCAATGTGTCATCGCTGGTGCTTCAGGAACACATCTAGTGTGTGTGTGCACATATCACCATAATGTGAAGCTTATGTTGATTGGAGTAGACATTGCTTGTCTTAGGGCTAACACTAAGATTCATCTCACCTCCTATAAAGATGCCTACAAAAAATGATGTGTGCCAATCCAACTCCAGTTTGTCATTTATTAACATCGAAATCTCAAAAAAAAAATGAAAGTTGCAAATCGCCCTGGTATAAGAATAATTCAAGATAATTTAAGAATGGTTTTTGATCAATTTCAAATAAAAAGTGTGACATTTGAAGCTTGGATTGGTACTGATCGCTCTTCTTTTACAACCCAAATACTACCTATCGATGATTTTGTTGATCGTCTATGCGCTGGCCTTGATGTACTAAAACCACATGCCTATATTGTGGATCAGCAAGCATCTTTTTTTAAATAATTAAAGGAAAATTTAGTTGAAGGAGAAATTATGGTCCAGTGTGATTTTGCTGAGAACTACAGTTTTGTAGTTCAAGATGCTGCCCAATCTTTCCACTGGAACAACAATCAAGCCACCCTTTTAACATGCGTGTTTTACTTTAATAAAGAACGAGAAGTAAAACATGAAAGCATTGTAATGATAACTGACGACCTTAAGCACGATACTGCGACCTTTAATAAATTTCATAAAATTTTACATAAAAATTTTGAAAAGAAATGTTTGCCGGTATCCAAACTTTTTTACGTGACAGACGGAGCATCACAGCATATCAAAAATCGTTTTAACTTTTTAAATCTATTTTATCACAAGCAAGATTTTATTAAAAAAGCAGAGTTACATTTTCATGCTACTGCGCATGGACTCGGAGGCAATTTAAAGCGTTTGGCATGATGCCAATGGCATCCCGTGCAAGTCTTCAGTTGCCATCAGAAAAGGCTATCACTACTCCACAGCGTTTGTTTAATTGGGCTCAAAAAACTTTAACAGAAACTTCGATTTATTATTGCAGCAAGGAAGAAATTCTACAAGAAAGGATATTTTTAGAAAATCGTTTTGTTAATGCTAGTACTATTCCCGGAACAAGAAAATTTCACGCGTTTATTCCAACCCTAGAAGGAATTCTAGTTAAAAATACAAGTAATAGTTTAAAACATAAGGTAATCAAAATTATAAAATAAATGAATTGAAAGGCCCAAAGAAGATGTTTTATTTACAATAATAATGTCTCATCAATTTATTTAATATTATTTTTTTACTATAAATATTGGTTTATTATTATTTTCAAACAATCAATTTTAAATCATAATTAAAAGCATTGTCAACATAATTATATATAACCACAATGTTAAGAAAATTTGTGGGTTCGTAAGTACCTACTAAATTTATTGTAATGCAATGCTGCATGTTTAAATGCCTATATTTTTTGTTTCAGTAAAAAAATATTAAAAAGGACAATAAAATCAAGTTAAACAATATCGATGTAGTTGTGCACAATAATTAAGTTTTTCAAAAGCGCCATCGACTAAACAGTGTATCACGCGCTAGGACCTAACGCCGCGGCGCGCCACTAGGTTTGAGGAGGGTTTACTTCAAGTCCTCTAGCATTTAAACGAGTGCTCATCCCATTACAAAATTTTGTATGCCTCATCTATACATTTTGAGAGAATTTTTAAGCAATTAAAAAAAAAACAAAAACTGGCCGAAATTAAAAAAATTATAATTTAAATTTTTTAAAACAAATTTTTTTATTTTTAACAAATTGGAATTTTTAATTTGAGTGCATAACGAAAAAGAGCATACAATTACCTACAAATGTGATTTTTTATTTTTTTTCTACGAAGATTTTTCAAGAAGCTAGACCCATTTAAAATACACCATGCACAACGTTTTGACGAAAATTTAAAAGCCCCTAGCAGGGTCCCTAGGCTTCGCAGGGTCAAATAGTTTTATGTCAATGCTAAGACCCCCTAGGGGTACAGCATACCCAAATATGAACAAATTTAAACAACTTTGCTTTTAAAGTTGCCCGCTTGGCGTGAAATGCCCCTTTTGTTAAAGAAAGAAGTTGGGTTGGAAAATCTCAAAATGTATGTACATTTTAAATTTAGTATTTCCTGCCTCTTGGCAATATGTATTTTTAAGTTACTATTAAAAATTGTTTTTAAATAGCAAATGTATACTCTCTAAGAAAGATTTTTAATATTTTACTGACAAAAATTTAATTTGGACTATAATTTTAATTATAATTCATAGTTTTTGATGACAATTGTAAGATGGGACAGAAGAAAAACAATAATATTAGTATTGTTTTGCAAATATAAAATATGCGATAAATCTATTTTCCGGTTTCGAAAATATAATATAAGCCAACAAAAAGGCTGAAGGTTACGTAACCATTTGCTCGATATAATTGGTATAAAAATTAAAATTAAACTTAAATTAATCATATATATTGGATATTGAAGTAAATATATAGATATATCTACTTTATTTTTTTCAAAATTAATTTAATTTAAAAATATTACTCATT